ATCAGGTTGCCACTTGTCCCGAATCGTACCTTTAATTGGGAATTAAATGTTGTGTCCTATATTGAACCAATACACAAGCATGAACACTGAATTTAACAATAATGAATAAAATAAAAGACAGGAGGAAGTATTACACAAATAAATATGGTATTGGCGGGAGATACACAGGACCTCCTGCGGACCCGTGAGCATAGCCTACGTGTGGTGCGTTCTCCTCTGCTCTGTGCCAAATCCTCTGTCTGCCTGCACGCAGGCAGCCAATCCCCTTTGCGCTGCCTCTGCCTGATTGTTTTGCATGTTTCCCCCATTTTTTTCATTTGGATTCACAATAATTATCTTCATTTTAGTGATCTTTATTACAGTAAAAGTGTCCCCAGACAGGCTTTGTTACAGATGTTGCAGCGCTCTCCAGTAAATGCATGTCACACAGTATGCTCAAGTTCAGTCTATTCAGACTTGAACATGTATACGTGTTTCTTTTTTTTAATTTCTCTTAAAGTAAAGGTCTCCCCAGTTTTACATGTACAGCATTTTAAAGGCTATTTAATTTTAAGATAGTCTTTTTCAGTCAAGGTATCTCCAGACAGGCTTTGTTTAATTTGCAGCACTTTATATGTATACAAAACAGTAGGCCAGGTCTATATGCTCAAGACTATTAGTATCATTAAGCCTATTAAGTGTTTCATAATTGTGAAAAGTGTTACAGTACAAATCTTAGTTGAATTTACAGCCCTTTTTAATAGGCTATGATCAGGTTCAGGCTACTTCAGGCTATAAAAAAATAACAATGTTTATTGCTTATGAAGCGCTTTAAACTTGAAGTACGTCGAAATGCTTTCTTTGCTTCTCCTTCTTTACTGCCCACCAAGTGACCCCGGGGCCCAGAGGCTAATATGACATGTTAAATAATGTCTCAATTAAAACAAAGCAATTTTGTTTTTTCATATTAAAAAATAGCGGCAAAATGGGCTTTGGTTAGTGAGTCGACCTCACAGTGCAGAGGTGCAGGGTTCAATTCTGGCCCCGGGCCTCCCTGTGTGGAATTTGCATGTTCTGCCTGTGAGGGGTTTCTCCGGGTACTCTGGTTTCCTCCCACATTCCAAAAACATACATGGCAGGTTAATAGAACACTCTTATATTGTCCCGAGATGTGAGTGTGAGCGCAGATGGGTGTTCGTCTCTGTGTGCCCTGCGATTGGCGGGCAACCAGTTCAGGGTGTCCCCGCCTACTGCCCGAAGACAGCTGGGAGAGGCTCCATCACCCCCGCCACCCTTGCGAGGAAAAAGCGGATCGAAAAATGGATGGATGGATGAATAATCGTGATTTCAATGATAGCAAAATAATCCTGAATATCTCTTTTTTTTTTTTTTTTTTTTCATAATTGAGCAAACCCCAATGCGCAACCCCAAAAGTCGATACATGCTCGCTGTTTAATGTCGCAAGATGTCCAAGCATCAAATCGCTCAATGTGCAGCAATCAGACATTTTCTTTGAGGGATACCGTCATGTGTGTGGTTTGGTGTTTTGCTCAATTTGCTACAAGAGTAAGATGAGTGAGTAAGAAGACAGGCCGATGATTTGTTTTCCTTCATCATTTGTGGAGTCTCACAGAAAAAAAAAATGTTATGTTTATGTGTACCCCGCTTGACATATTTACAGTATGATGCAAGGTTGTGTCAAATAACTCCTCAAGCATCCTCTGGGGACCGTAAATCTCATAAGGCATAAGACAGAGCATATTTATTTACATATTTAGGTTGCTTTTGTGTCATCTGGAATTCTGAATTGACATCTAGAGTCTTGCATTTACTAAATATTGTTTTATGTTGCCTCTGACTTCAGAAGGTTGATTTTGTCTATGATTTACTCTCCATCAAGTTGCATCTCCACACACACATTTTTGGTGCATGTCCCTCAGTCTTGATGATGAATTATTCAAGCGTTGGCTTGTTTTTTTGCTGACCCCTGTTGCGTTTTCCCATTTTCTGCCTGAATCATATAAACCAATGGTGTTTCTATCTGACAACATACGTAACCTGCTACAGATACAACATGCTTCTTACGCCATATAGCAGTGTGTAGTATACCATACCATGTTTATTTTTAGGTTTGGAGCTACCGTAGTAACACTTAATGCTATTAAGATCAAAGTCTCCCCAGACTGTGCGTGTCCTTCCTTATTTATTTATTTTTTTTTCACATTGAGATCCAACCTGCGAGTGTGTTGTTGAGCGGATGACATAACAATGTGGTCTGACACGACAGCAGTTTGACTCCTGCCTGTCATGCAACCCACTCCCACTTGCTCTTTGTCAATACACAGGTACAGTACTTCTTACCAGACAATTTGTGTGTAATAACATTAATCTTGCTTAAAAAAAATCCAAATAAAAAAGGGGTTTAGGTCAAAATAAGAAATATGTGGATAGTCATTAGGCTTATGTATACACTGGTTAGAGACATTAGTGATTTTTGAGGTCCTGCTGTATGATTTTCAAAGACATTTTGCCAAGTCACATTTTCCTGTTCTATTGATAGATCATAATACTTAAATTATGTCATATATTTCTCAATTAATCACTTTTATCTGACTCCGACCACCCCGCCGATTGACTTAGCATAAATTTGTATTGTTTGAGGATAAGCTTTTTTATTCCAGGAACTGCACTGGAAGATCAATTAGCTGTTCTACGGGTAAATATATTTGCTCAAAGACCCTGAAAAGTGAATTCAGACATTATTTTTCTAAAAACATTGTTTGAAGAGAATTGCTGATCAAGGGTGCAAAGCGTGAGAACGATTTCATTCTGAACGCTGAATTGTGAAAAATAGCATGAAACTGTTTTGGATCAATTCAGTTTTCCTGATATCTGGGTGTGGCTAACTGGGTGGCTCGATGCACATCAGAGTCAGGCATGAGTTGCCCCTCTTCGCTATATAAGAACTCGAGAGCCGTTGTTCGCCTAAACAGCTATGTGGTGCAACTGCAAGATACAAAGTTATAAATATTTGGCCAATTTCAACCACCACAAGCATTCAGTTAGCTAGCTAGCGAAATATTTTCCTGGATGGCACAATTTACAAAACAGCTTGGTGTCATTATTTGAATTCTCAAGTGCGATGGATTTTGTGTTATTCACGCTACTGTCATACGGTATGTTGGAACGCAAAGCTTTGTGGATACATAACCAGCAGGAAGTATGTACTCAAATGTTGGTCACATCTATAGCGTGAGCCACAGACTGAATATGTGCTTCCGTGACTCCTCCTGAAATGTCTGTTTTACGGACCTACACATTGACATCAACCGAGGAGGTGAGGCCATTGACGAGCGAGCCTCGGAACATACTCGCTTGCGAGCAAGCTGTTGGCTAGCGCTTCTCATTGGGATACATTCCATGGGACACATTCCAGGACTGGAGGTTTTAAGCAGATATATTTTTCGCCGCTCAAACATGAAGGCATGTGAAGGCGTAAGAACGATAATGTGGTATTTGATTGATAATGGACAGTTGAGTGAGGTGAGCCTAATCTTGTATACTTGGCAATTTTTATGAATCAACCTTGGCAGGCTTATTCACGACACTTTTTTTTCTTGTTCTTTTAAGCCCAGTTTTTGCAGTCAACCTCTATCGACCCCCGCACATACTTGTGCCATTTGAGGATGGGTGTCGTCATTCCAGTTAACCCCACCGAATCACCTTGGAACATGCCAGTCAATGCAGTGGGGTTTTTGTCCGTTTTTTTTTTGGCCCTACCTGTGATGTCCTCTCTGCACTGGCAAGCTCAGAGCGCCTCTGCATGTGCATCTCGAATCAGTTAGAGAGCAAGAGAGAGACAGAAGTGTGCATTCATGTGAGAGAGAGAGAGAGAGAGGGAGCGAGTGAGGAAAGGGTAAGGCGAGGAGTGCCCTGTGAGCAGTAAGGTTCTCGGTGTGCCCCCCTCAACCACCATTTGAGCAGTGGCGGGCATGCAGCAAAGCGGCGAAGGAGCCAGGTGGGCTGCGGCGCTCTTCTGCTTCTTCTCCTTCCTGTCAACGTCGCAGACGCTCCGGGGGACGAGCGGCGTCGTGTGAATGCCTCCCAGGACTCCAAACCTCCCCCTTGGGATTATGAAATTAAGGAGTTGAGGACGCGTTCGCTCCTGCAGGATTTTCCAAACAGTGGCGGGCATGCAGCAAAGCGGCGAAGGAGCCAGGTGGGCTGCGGCGCTCTTCTGCTTCTTCTCCTTCCTGTCAACGTCGCAGACGCTCCGGGGGACGAGCGGCGTCGTGTGAATGCCTCCCAGGACTCCAAACCTCCCCCTTGGGATTATGAAATTAAGGAGTTGAGGACGCGTTCGCTCCTGCAGGATTTTCCAAACACACCCAACTACCTACTTAACCTTTGTGGCTCCCTCACACCCCCACTGAAAAATGATCACGCCGGTACCTCAAGTGTACTTTAAGAATGCTGCTACCTTGCTCGTACGAGCCGTGCCCTAGCTCTCAAAGCACTTGACCAATGAAGCCATGGGACTCAGCCAGAGCTTTACAAGTATGTGGTGACCCCCCCCCCCCCCCCAACCCCGACTTTAGGGATAGAGTGTGTTGCTGTGTGAATACCAATGTTTTTTTGTGATGTCTTTGGAGCGACTAGCCACTCTCATGCTTGCACCCACTTGTCTGCTTAGTGGGCCCACTGAAGCCCAAATTTGTCAGACGGGTTCCTCGCTCTCCCTTCACTCTTGCCTGACCGTAACCCGTTAGCCCATCCGGCATCCTTTCTCTTCCTCCTGTATTGTAGCACGTGTGGTGGGAGCCCCGCCGGCTCAACCCCGAGCCCCCTGTTTTTTTCCCAACCCCGGACCCTGCCTTCCCCGAGCCCAGCCTGGTGCTGCTGCACTCGGCTCTGCCTGCGCTGGCCAAGGATGATGTGGCAGTGCCACGTGTCGTCCTCCGAGTGCCGCTGCTACCGGCTCAACGGCTTCTCGCTGCTCAAGCGCTTCCCTCTCTCGGCAGATGGGGCGTGCGGCAAAGCCCTGGACCAGCCGGTTGGTGAGTGGCTGGAGCGAGCTGGGCTGCCGCAGTACGAGGGCAAGTTCCTGCTCAACGGCTTTGACGACCTGCGCTTCATGGTGAGTCACCTGGATCGACTCACCCGCACACCAAGGGCTCGGCTTCCTGCCTTTTTCACGCTCTGCCTTATGACCATATTTTCATTTAACATTAAATTAAGTTGTAATTACAACAGTTATTTAATTCACCAACTGCAAAAAAAAAAAAAGGAAAAGATGTTACTATTTGTAGTTTAGTATTCACAATAAATCAATGAACCAAATCTTTGTTAAGACAAGTGAATGTATTATATATATATTTTTTTTTGCATTTTTTAAAATTAATTCAAGGAGATCATCCATCCATCCATTTAATAATCCGCTCACGATGGTTGCGGGCCAGCTGTCTTCAGGCAGTATAGGCAGGGTACACCCTGAACCAGTTGCTAGCCAATTGCAGGGCACACAAAGACAAACAATCATTCACACTCACAATCACACTTAGGGACAATTTAGAGTGCTCCATTGACCTGCCATGCATTTTTTGGAAAGTGGGAGCAAACCGAAGTACTCGGAGAAAACCCACGCAGGCATGGGGAGAACATGCAAACTCCACACAGGAAGGCCGGAGCCCACATCGAACCCACGACCTCTGCACTGTGAGGTCGATGCGCTAACCAGTGCGACCACCGGGCCGCCCTAATTAACCATTTATCTAAAAAAATAGTTTTTGCGTTGATGTATTTTTTGTTATTATTTTTTAAAATATTATTTACAACACATTAATTCACCAAATTGTTTATTTTACTAATTTTTTTATTCAAAATAAATCAATTTACCAGGCGAATGAATTTCGAATACATTTTAACCAATGGAAAACAGCAGCGAACTTATTCATTATTCTTGTATTGCGGGTGGGCCGCATGTGTGTCATCCGGGCCCTACTTTGCCCACTCCTGATTGAACCCCCCTTGTCCTCCCTTCACCTCTGTGCAATGCATGACCCTGCCAAGATTGATGATGACCCCCCCAACAGCTCCTCATCCTCCTCTTTCCAACAGGGCGCATAGGCCGCCATCATTGGCAAGACAAACAGCCATCAAAAGCCATTAACTTTTTTCTCCACCATTAACAATTAGATGATCTCATTCCACAGTCCTTGGAGCTAAAGTGGAGCTCATTTTTAATGCGCTGCAGCTTCTTCCGATACACTCTGCATGCTCCCGATATGTGAATACCACCCCAGCGTACTGTTTCACACTGTGAGAGCAGACATATTGGGAATTTCTGCTCACAAAATAAAACAACCTCCAGGTGGCCTAATATCAAGTTTGTAATATACTTTTGTCAAAATAGCCCAAGGATCAAAATTCATTGCACACTCAACATGTTTTAGGGGCCTAGCTCATTCCACTCCGTTAACTGCTGAGCCAATGGCAAGTCCAGCTTTTCTTATCGTGACAACTGACTCTTTCTTGTCATTTAAGCGTATGCGTAACAAAGCCTGCTTGTTTTCCCAGGGTGTAGGGTGAAAAGTGCAAGTGCCCGTAAATACATCCATCCATCCATTTTCAAAACCGCTTATCCTGATCAGGGTTGCAGGAGGGTGCTGGAGCCAATCCCAGCTAACTTCGGGTGAAATGCGGACTACCCGTTGAACAGGTCGCTTATCAAAAGCAACAATGCAACAAAAGCATTTTAAGAAAATTATGAAAATTATGTTATGTAACAGTGGGGCAGAAGTGCAAAACAGTTTGTTCACTGGCACTCATTCAGAAGCAGGATTTTTTTTTTTTCATGAGTTTCAAGCAAAAATTTGAGTTATGGGCACTAGCTATGGTGACAGCGATTTCACAACAAACAGAGGTTTGGCAAATAGTGAGCAGTTCTTCAAAAAAAGAAGCTAAATGCTTGCTTCAAAATGCAACCAAAGCACATTAACTTTGTCTTACGAAATTCAGATAGCTTAATGCTGACACACAATGAAAAACTAACCGGTATTTGAACACAAGCTGTAACAACTCAGGCAAACTGTTAAAAAACAAAAAAAAACCTGATTATACTTAATATTACTGCAGCTTAATTCAGACAATCTTCTTCTGTGTTTTATCCTCAAATTTACATTTTTTTATGTCTGTACTATACCACCCCATTTTGGCAAAGGCACACACATCAGAATGAGCAGCACAATCTCCATTAAAGTATCATGATGCACAAACTGTTCAATTCTTTACATTCCATTAAATGATATAATTACAGTGTAGTGTCATAAAGTTCAATGCTGTACAGTGACATCTTTGTTTTTGTAAAACACATTACAAAAACGTTCGTGTTTTTGGGAGCTCTGGAACGGATTATTGGCATTACCAATCATTTCAATGGGGAAAGATGATTTATGATAAGAGTGGAGTGTACACATGAAACAAATTAAACTTGTAAGTCAAGGTGCAACTGTAAACATGTACAAGCAATTAAAAAGATGTCTGGATGAATGTTCCATATGATGTTCCCTTTAAACGATGAGCACACAAATTGGTGCATCTGGAAAGTAAGGCCATACTCAGAACCTCCACCTTAATTACATATTAATCAGCTGATTTAACTGCACCTCACTGCCCACAGCACGACTAAAAGCATTATCGTGTTTTATTTGATTTGTTTGTTAAATTGCAGAGAAACGTGCCTTTGACGTCGTTCGCTCCCCAGGTCAAACGTTGGCCGTCGTGCCGTAAATAACGGCGCCCCGAGGGGCTCCGAGCGAGCATTTGAGCTGCTGTTGTGTTACGTCACCTTGTCACGCCGGAGTTCGGCTCAGTGGCGTGGTGGGGAGCTGCTCCGTGACCTCTTTCACAGACAAGCTTTAGCTTCAAGTAGCATGAAGTGGCTCTGCTGAGAAACCCAGCAAACGAATGACCAAAAAGAAAAGAAAATAACCCTGTCTGGAATTAAAATAAGATTGAAAATGCATTTGAATCCTGTTTTTAACACTAGTCTGCTTGGATAAATGCACTAAAAAATTAGTCACCACATGCCAACTAGTGGGGCACTGCGGCCTACATATAATGGTATTGACTTTTATGTACTTTTCAGTGGAATTTCTTTGACTCGTGTATGCATGGCCATTTGTTACTAGGAAGAATTCTATGGGCAAAACACCATTCAAAAAAGACTGATATACACCAAGTCGTGTTGACAATGCAATTTTCATGGCTACAGGATGTTAGCTAAAGGGCAAAGTTGTCTCACACAACAGAGAGCAAAGCGAGATGCGTAAGTAACACAGAAAATGAATAGTTCAAAATGAATAAATATTAGTTCCTATTGTAGAACAGTGCCAACAACTGTAATAGTTGTGTACTGTCCAATTTGAAACAGCAAGGCCAAAACACCAAATGTATCACATTTTTAGACATTTTCAGGGGAATTGCTTTGATTTACATATAAGTACAAATTGCATTGGTTTGAATATATTTGCAAACGACTGACTGTTCTGCAACAGTGCCATCTGCTGGTTATGGTGGGGCTCTGCCCCGAATGTAAAATCCCGAAACATTAAGTCATTTTTAAATTGTTGACTGGATACATATTTGACCCACATTAGTCAATATAAAGTTTACACCCCATAAATCGCTCCCATATATGTAATGTGCATTACAAACCCTATCTTAAAAAAATAAGATTTATATGTGACAAATATGAAGTTGGTAAAAGTGTCCCGGTGTTAGACTGGATGATTCCGTGCAGGAGGGAAGATTTCCCCAACATAATGTGATGCGCACTATGGATCATTAAGCATTCTGATGTTCATTTGTGTATGACGCCTCATGTGTCTGCTGGACCTGACACATCGGCTAGATAAATGATGGGCTCAGCGAGGCAAACGAGCCACACTAAGAGAACGCCGATGCCATGCTTGTAAACAACGGCAAAGGTCAGACGAGTCGGTTAGATGGGGCGGATGTTTCATCGCGTGCCCTTTAACATGCTTCTAGATTCATCAATGCTATCAAGCAAAAGTTCTCCAGTAGGGGGCAGCACATTTCGGAACCACTTTGGTAGTAGTACCAATTTAGGCTTGACCTGGAACTTAAAATGACTGTTTGAAAAAAAAAAAAACAATAAAAGAGCATATTAAAAATCCACAAAATGAGGTCCACCCCAACTTTTTTTCTACATTTAAACCCCTCAAATTTTGGGGGTCAGTTTGAAACCACAATATACATATTCAAAGTCAGCGTGTTGGCAGTGCATGTGAGCTTGAAGCTTGTGTAATTCCGAAGCTCATTTTGAGGATTCGTAGCGGGCGAAGTCAAGTCTGAGTTGTCCGTGCCGCATGAGAAGTTTCCCCCAGCGGCCAGGCCCGCGGAGCAGAGCGAGCGCATGAGCGGTGAGGCTCTCCGCCGCTCGTGACGACTGCACCAAGAGACAGCTTTTGAGGGATCATGAATTATGAACAGCTGTGTGCCCATTCTCATCATTTTCACACGACGATTAGCATTTTCCCCTGGAAGTGGGTCGCTCATCATTGGTGCAGGAGTCAGGTTTTTTTTTTGTTAGTATTTTTTTATTGTTTCGTGTGTGAACATTTTATTGCTTTAACGTCCGAGCTATGATGTGGCAAATCGTCCACCTGAGAACTGTACATGTCGCACATTCGTCTCGCGCATAAATATTGCATTCGATCGTGCTGCTTTCAACAAAAACGCTGCAATGTGGACATGAACAGGCTCAAGTCTTGATGACGTTCTAAGGAGAATCTTATTTAGAACCATTTTTGAAATCTTATTCATTGGGTGTGTGCATCTCTCATTGAAAAGATGATTGGGATGTGTAGAGTATGGATCTCAACACATTCAATGCAATAAAAATTAAAGTGGGGGTCTTTGAAAGTGGAACGAGTGGATTCGATTCAGTGGGATTACTCTTTGATTTTGGTACTACTCAGTTCAAGAGGGTATGACGCAATGAGTTTCTTGCCGTTGTTTTACATTTACACAGATCTATAGGTATATGGGCTGCAATATGATATTCAAGGACGTGACATTTTAAAGGTGACTAATTTGATTCGATGCACTCACATCTTTTAAAACAAAACAGATTTTCAAATTCAAATCATTTTTTGTTACGGTCCAATGATTTACAGTGAATCAATTAAGCAGATGAATTAATTCCAAATTAACCCTTTCAAGGACAGTGTTTACAAAAGTGGACAGCTTATCATTTTATCAGGTGACAGGGTGCATGAAATGGTGAAAAGAGAAAAAAATTGAAAATCTATTGGCCGTTTAAAGCTCCTCTCCTCATTTCAGTATAGTCCATTGGAACCATTATGTCACAAAATTGCACCAAAGCAATACTTATACATTGGACAGGGCTTTGGCCTGAATTCAAAAACAGCAGCTTTTCAGCTACTAGGGATATGTGGGGAGCCCCCCCGTGGCCAGGGAGCCCCAAGCAGCCATTTAGTTGGCTAATGCCTTTGGGCCAACTCTGGACGTGAACACACAAAGCGTAACACGTCGCAGTGCCCGCCAAGCATTTTCAGAAAATAAAAATAAAGACAATTTGGCATACGGGTCAAGAGAGCGATGCTAATTTTGCACGCGCACGCAGCGAGACGGAGGAGCGCTAGCACGGCTTCATCATCATCATCAGCAGCAGCAGCAAGTCGCCGCACATCACATCAATAGCGGCGTGCGGCTCATTAGCTATGCAAGTACTCAAGCGTACATTTTACCGTCACATGACGTCAAAGACGTTGAGCCAGAGCCTCCTGAGGCGTTGTCGAACCGGGAAGAATCTATTTCAGGCGCCTATCCTGGATTTATGGCTGGCGACCTTTTATTAATCGGGCTGCAGTGGGGCTTTGAGGCCGAGCCAGCGGCGCGGAGGAAAGACAGAACATTTTAACATTCTTGGCTGGAAACAATCAATATGCAGCAGTACGCACCGGGGAGGGGAAAAACGCTTAGATGCACATTTTCCAGGCTCACTCTCACGGCTCCATTCAAAATCACTCTGTATTCACTATACACAGTAGCTGTCTGGTATAAACTATCTGAAAGCAGTACTTCGGTATAAGTACAAGTATCCTAACAGAAAATAGCATTGGTATGAGAAAAAGTCACCTTGTACAATTTTCCTTGAATAAAAGTCTTGATGTGTCTTAACATTTGATGTACTTGAGTGACAAAAGTAATTTGGTCTGGACATTTTTTAATGACTTTTCTCAATGTGCTAACACTGTTACCACAATATCTGAGCTAATGTGAATACAACTGATTAGATCATTTAGGACAGAATGCTCTTTTTTTTCAGATTTGTGTACATTTTTACAGTACACACATGCATCAATTATCTGAGCCGCTTCTCCTGATGAGGGTCGCGGGATGTGCATTTTAATGTAATCAGTATTTATGTATTTATTATTATTATTATTATTATTATGATTTTATTTTTTATATTTATTTTTTTTGCTGTATTTTATTTGGCGGCTGTGTTAACTATACATGTTACTATGTAAAAATCCCAATATAGTGATACGAGAGTAGAGGATGAGTGAATAATTATGAACGCAGCGTTCTGAATCATACACTTAATCCCTACTCCCTAACTACTCCATAAGGATTTTTAATGGAATCCAAACCAAACCATAGTCCACCATATATATAGAAAACACCTAAATGTCTCTCTGGACAAGGATCTGCTTAATGAAGCACAAAATGTTCCTCGTTTCTTTGACTGTTTCAATGAAAGCATCTCGTGCGGACACGTCCACCAAGGCTTTCTTTGTTCCCGACACGTCGTACCGCATTACATTGATCTCACCGCGCCATGCACAATTTATTTGACTTCATTGTCCTCCCACTCGCCTCGTGTCAGGCGTGCGCTAAACACTTTGGTGTCGCATCCCGATCCGTGTTTGCACTGAGTGGTACATTTAAATTACCAGGAGTGTAAAAGTACAACATGTACTTGTATTCCGGTGGTTAGGATGAGACGTTTGGTGAGCGGTCAGCAAGTGGACGTTATGGCCTGTTTTTGGCTGCCAACCAGTCCAGGGCATACCCAGCCTCTTGACCAAAGACACTTGGGATAGGCTCCAGGTCACGCGTAACACTAATGGGACAAGCGGCATGCAATATACACTGAAAAACTGCTGCACTGTTTGCCTAACCCATTCGCTGCCTTTTTGAGCAGCTTGTGTTACTTTTACCCAAGGTTGGGTTCATTGTTTTGACCGATCAGATTGGGTTGAAGATTGAATTCGGGCACGTTCAAGATCTGAAGCCGGGTGTCAGTATGGACGCAGTTTTTTGTTGTTCAGTAACATCGCTGACCTTGGACACGGGATTGCAGTTCAAATCCCGAAAAGGTAAATTGTGTTCTTGGGCAAGACGCTTCACGCCAAGGGTGCCCATCACGTTTAACGTGATCGATCGGTATCACCGATGGCACAGGCAAAAAAAGGCAATCTGAAGGGCCGAGAGAAGCATTGTAAAATGGTACATGTGTCTCTCTTGTGTCTACTTTATTTTACTGTTTCGTTCATCTTAGGTGCCGTTATGGCGGTTGTTCATCACGGCATGCATGTGCAAGTGTGTGCGTATGCACACGTGCACAATTGCAGGAGTTTGTTTGATCGAAAAGTAGATCTTAGGTCAAAAAAGTTTGGGCACCCCTGCTTTGGGCCATATGCTGATTCCAAGCCACTGCTGCTTTTCAGCCCAGATAAAAATGCGTGGGTTGCATCAGCAAAGTGACCCCTGACGGGGCCAAAATGTTTCTTCTTCTCAGAAAATGTTGGTAATAAAATCAGTTTTGTTTTTCACAGCTAAACTGATAAGGTGGTCACCAATTTCTTGGTAGCTTTAACTCATCCGTTTGGGTCGTTTTTATTCCTCCTTGGATCAAAATCTGAACTCAACGTGCTGGGTCAAATCCTCAACCCAATGCACTGGGTCTAAATTACCCAGCATCGTGTCAGTCCCTTTTGGACCCAACACTGGGTTTAAAATTTCATACAATTTGGGTTACTTTTAAACCAGCAGTTTTAAGAGTATTGAAATTTAGGTGGATGGTTGGATGGCAAGTTTGATTGATGGATGCTTGCTCAACAAATAGCAATCGACGTTTGGTCCACCATTTGGTCCGCTACTACTATGGCTTGGAGTGCAACAGAAGCATGGCAGGAAGTCAGATGGCTCAGCTAGTTCACCAAACTTCAATATACTGATTGGTGGAATCAATAACTTGATCAATAACGTGTGTGTGTGTGTGTGTGTGTGTGTGTGTGTGTGTGTGTGTGTCGTAGCATTCAATTGAAAGTGTCTCCTGTGTTTGCGTACGTGCAGGGAAGTAACGTGATGGAGGATCAGGATCTGCGAGACATCGGGATCACCGACCCAGGACACAGGAAGAAAATCCTGCACGCGGCACGTGGATTACCAAAGGTACTTCAATTCCAGCAAATAAACACGTTTTTTTTTGGGGGGGGGGGGGAATAAATGTTCTCTGTTTCTGTGTGACGCTTTGAATTTATTGTCATGAGATTTATGGTGTCCACAGCATGCATGAGGAAGCAGTTATTTGACACTACTGTGCATTATGAATGATTTAAGGCGGGCTAAACACATACGGATGATCGGAACAAATTTGAGGATTTTCTCACTCTTTCGATCAATGTCAGCAAAAGTCCAGTTGATGAATGCCTGTAAAGGATCATCCTGAGTTTGTGGTGTGGGGTGTGGGGTGTGCTCTTTTTTTTCTGAACTGCTGGAAAAATGACAGCAGGGGAGTGGCTGCTTGAGGAATGAATTCTTCCAATCCGAAATCACATTTACAAGCGCGCCACCCCTCACTCTTTCCATCAATCAGAGTTCAGCAACGTCACACATTCAACTGGTGCCTGACTCATCGTTATGTGTGTATCTCATTTAAGTTTGGTTCGAGGAGGCCAGAGGACACTCACCTATGCTGTCCTTGCTGCAGGTCAAAGCTCTGGGCTGTGATGGTAGCACATCTCTGGCCTCGTGGTTGGACGGCCTGGGCCTGCACGAGTATCTGCCCAACTTCCTATCCAGTGGCTACCGCACGCTGGAGTGTGTCAAGAACCTGTGGGAGCTGGAGATCATCAATGTAAGCGGGCACCAGTGAATGACACCTCGCTGTTTCAAAAACTGATGTATGCACAAAAGTTGAAGCCACTTACCAGAAGAGGCTACTGAGTGATGAGAAGTCTTAAGACTTGGTGAAGCAGCATGTGGTTTATTGTCTAAAGTTTTAATAGAGATCAAAATGTCAGATATTTCCATCTGGATTGGATCCACAGTCACAATGCATTCAGCGAGTAGTCACACCCATTTTTGCATTCCAGACTTATTCCAAAACCGAAGAAAAATTACAATTCTTAAAATTCTACACTACACATCATAATACTGTACATCATGAACATTTGTTCTCAAATATATTAGAACTGAAAAAACTAAGAAATCCCATGTATGTCAGTAATAAATATGTTATTAATGCACCTTTAGCAGCTATGTCTAGTTCATTTTGAAGATCAGGCCACAAACTGTGCACACGTTTTTGGGGCCAATCCTCTCCAAACAACGAATCGAAACCACTTTTGGAATAAGTCTGTCACAACAAATTGTGGGGAAAAAAGTGAAGCACCGTGAATGCTTTCCAGATATCATTAGAAGCAGGTTTTGCCTGTCAAATTTTATACAATTATTCAACTTAGTGGTCGAACCAAGATGAAAAACATCCAGCTGTCTATGGGTGCTAAACAAACAACTGTGAAGCAGAGAAAGCTGAGACGTTTGTCTCGTCTCACCTGGCCTGGGGTAGGAGCACCGCCCTTTATTTGGGAGGCACATGAAAACCAGCGACCGTGAAAGTAAATGTATAGACAGATAGTAGCTCCTTTCTAACCAAGGTAAACTGAGGACACCCTGTACTCCGCTCTCTCACATTTGTGTGTTTGCCCTTTTTCAAAGCCCTCCAAAAATGTTTTGCTTTGTGACTCACATCAGCTCGGGCTATCATAAATAATTTACTCTCTCTAGTATCATTTGTAGAGGAAATCACAATCAGCCATTGTAGCAAAAATAGCGCAATCATGAATTTTACCCCTACGAGTGTTTCCTTTCGTTAGCGTGGTTGCAGCAGAGCAGAGGTTGAGAACACCAGTGCGTTGCCATGGTTACGTTGCACAGACTTTCTTTAAGCGTCCCGTCTTTTTTTCTTCTTCTTTTTTCTTTATCTTCTTACATCGCCGCCATGCTCTGCAGCATCTCGCAGCAAATCGAGCGTGGCCGTGACCTACAAACCGCTTTACGTTCCCGCACGCCATCTTAAGTGCTTTATTATTGGGGTTCACACAACCTCTAACCCCCGTGGGAAAGCGAGACTTCCAGACCAGTTCTTACCCTAGACGAGATGAATAATTGAAGGCTTCAGACAAAAAGAGACACGCGCGACGGCGACGTCTGTTGTGGAGGGTCTAGTAAGCGGCAAATATAATTGCACGAGGAACTTTAATAACGGACGCGAGTGTGCTAATCGGCAATTAAGCAAATTTATGCGATAGAAAAGAGTTTTGACTCCATAAAACTAACAACCTCTGACGAGTACGATCACGGTTTAACAGAGGGGAACATGCTTTGAGAAGGCGAGCGACTAAAAGAGGATTGAACTACCGTACGGGTTGGGCTTCTTCACTGAAAAGTGGACAGGCGTGGCGAGTAGTCAAATAAAAATCTGTGAAACTGGAGTTGAAAAGACAATACAATGTCAAATCTGTTATTTTGCGGTATCTCATTGGAAGAAGTGGCTCTTATTCTGGTGCCTTGGGTAAGTAGGGCTGTTTAGGTTAGCGATGGATTTAAAATGGTTGCAGTTTGCTTCCCTGTGTGAACAGTTGTAACTAATCTCATTCCAGTTGTTTAATTTAAAGCTTGACTAAGGGGAAGGCTGAAAATTTGTTAGTAGTCAGTTAGTTTTGTGTAGTGTAGACGTTGTGGTTAGTCACTCAGCAATTAGCAGTCAGTTCGTTAACTAGACTGCCAAGTTACTGTTCAGTTGGTTCGCCAGTTAGTTGGTCTGTTGGTCGTTGGTTAGTCTGTTAATTAGGTTGATAATTGATTGGGAGTCAGTTGCTGCAGTTTGTCAACTTTGTCAGACATTGGGCTCCATTTTCGTAGACAGACAATAGTAACTAATCTTCATTTTTTTCCCATGCAGAGCAAATCTAGTTTATCTTGTTCGGGGATTTGGCAAACAGCGCTGTGCAATGCTGCGCGTTTCGGCGTTACATGCCCCCGACGCACCCGACAACTTGGTGACAGAAAGTGGACTAAACCTTAGACTAGGGGTTCCCAACCACTTTTTTGGCTTGTGCAACCTTTTTGTTACACCATCATGAGTACCCTGTCACTCATATGTGTTGATGAGTTTCCATAATTAGAAAGTAACTTTAAAATAAATATGTTGACCAAAAACCCTAACCCAGGAATAAAACACTGAACATGAATAAGATTCAGACGCTCAGCAGTATTTTTTCTTTTTTTCAGTCAACTGAGTTTTAATGAGACACCTGAGTTGACACACAGCTGTTGTGATTTTGGCGCAGCTGTGCCAAAAGTTACTGATCGGCGAAACTAATTGTTAAAATGATTCCATATACCCCTTGTAATGTACTCACGTACTATAAGGGTACACGCCTTAGACCAGCTAAAGGCAGGTCTAAGTTGTGGCGCAGGTGGTCGAACAGAATTTTGGTGAATTTGATCCAAATGCAGGACAGATTCTGGTGGCACACGTGGCCACAAATGATCACGTTGGTAGGCGTTCTACGAGGGCTCACAGCAGTGATCTGTGACCACCCTGGCCCACTTTACATTAGCTGCATATGGAGGTCTGCTTGCAGCTCCTCGGCGTGCTTTGATCTTTTTGCATGGACTCCAGCGAGTCTGTTTTGTGCTTCCACAATATCTTTGAATTCAAACGGAATGAGGTCAGGTAAGTCGACTGTGTTCACCCCCACAATGGTGCATAATCCCCTTTTTGAAAATAAGAAAAGAAAGAAAACTCCAACTATGCTCACAGTGAGACTTCATTTTGCGCGAGATTTAAGATGGGCGCAAAAATAGAGCCCAGTGAGTTAGTCAGTCATTGGTTTACTGTCAGTCAATGAGTCCATTGATCATTTAAACGGTCAGTTATTTGGTCGGTTATTAGTCAGCGATTATCAGTGATTCGTTCATCACTTAGTTCCTGTGACAGTTACTCATTCAGTCAGTGAGTCAGTTTCTTTGCCATTAAGTCCGGCAGTTTGTTAGTTTTCAAAATGTCAATCAATCAGTCACTTGGTTAATTGGTCAGTCAGTCGGTCAGTCAATGTCTGACTGTGGTACAGCAACTGTTTGTGGCAGGACTGTATTTCTTATTTTGCGAGCGAAATGGGCTCACTGTGTTATTTAAGCACGATGCACAAAGATGCTTCGTGAATTATGGAGCATTCCCGGGAAAGAGACAGGAGCGTACTCTAAACTGATGGTAAAACAGATTGAAGCTGAATTATTGATGGTCAGTCATGGGGGCGTGTTCCGTCGACTCAGTGGGTTTTAGAGGCCACGCTTATGAGTTTTTGTTTGCAAATGGCTGCTCGGATACGCCTTGTTGGATTCTCTTTGCTGCCGTAGGTCATCAGGGTGGGTCCGCTGGGTCACAGGAAGCGGATCATCGCTTCTCTGGCTGAGAGACCCTACGAGGAGGCACCCTCCAAGTCCCGACGCCTGTCTCCTATCATGGTGAGGACCATATTACTACTTCAAGTCCTCATGGCTTTTTGTAGGTCAAAGTTTGAATATCAGTGATTTCACATTGCTTCCATGTGAAAACAAACAATATTTTTTTCTAAGTCAAAAAGCAATGCACTCAAAATTGGATATTAAGTATCATAATGTAGTACTCAAGCACAGATTTTGGTGGCACTTTGAACAGTTGAAAAGGCAAGAGGTCAATTTCAGTTACCGTAGTTTGGAACACTTTCCAAAGTCTCTCTCTCTCTCTCTCTCTCTCTCTCTCTCTCTCTCTCTCTTTCACTCTTTTTTAACCCAATTTTAGACAATAGAAAAGCAAAAAGAGACAAACGATCACCACTTGGTAGAAGCAGCACTTTTTAAGACCAAGATAACATGCCAAAAGAAACCTTGAATTGTAGCCCTCAGCAAAAATCGCTGTTGCATTTTTGAAGATAAATGTTGGATTCAGATCAAGAAAGCTCAAGGGCGACATAGCTGTCTAAACATTGTACCATCATGTGATGTTTGTTTTTGTGCGCCTTTTTATGCCTCTCAGTTCCACGACCTCCTGTCCCAGACCACTTGCCCCTTGGGCCAGATGGACCCCTACACCAGTCGCTCCATGGACATGCTGCTGCCCCTGGCCGAAGCCGACCGGCGGCGGCGAGGAGGACTGGAACAGGACTGTAGCATCTCTTTGCGTTCCTACTGTGAGCGGCCGCGCTCTGTTGTGAGTTCCTCCTTCGTTTACGTCCTTTGATCGTTTCTTTGTAGAGATTTACAACCACTTACTGGAGAACTTTACAAATTTAGCACACTCCTGTTCAAATGCCAGACTTTTGTGACTAAAAAGAAAACTTTTCCCACGATGACTGGGATCGATAAACTGTAGCACTCATTTTATTTATTTATTTATTTTTTGTAATATCTCTTCGTGAGGCAATGTAAAAATTAACAACTGATTTTGTGTATATAAGTGCACGTCAGCCTCACAGTGCAGAGGTGCTGGGTTAAATTCCGGCTCCGGCCTTCCTGTGTGGAGTTTGCATTTTCGGATCGTACAAGCGGATCGTAAAATGGATGGAGATATATACATATATACATACAGGTATAGATAGATAGATAGATAGATAGATATGCACACACACACATACAGTTAACATTTAGAACAAACATAACAGAAATAAAATATTTATCATCATAATAATAATAACAACCTGAATAATAAAAGGCAAACATATTTGTTGTCATTTTATTATCATTCATATTGCTTAGATAGAGTGGAATGTAATTTTGCAATGATGCGTTGCTTTGAGGTTTTAACGATGCAAAGACTAAGCTGGTGAAGCCGCACAACATCCCCGTCAATGCATTCATCTCCACAGATGTGTCACATGTGTCAGTAAAGTCCTGGCTAGCGAGTTGACTTAACACGTGAACCCGGCCAGCATCTGGGTCCCGCTGTCATGAACTCTCACAGCTCTTACATGACGGCTTGCTCGGTCCTCAGGTGAAAGCGCTAAGAATAACTTCACCGCCACTGTCAAATGTTAGCTTTCGCTAAAGGTCAAAACCCGCCGCACAAACTCAAACAGTCACCCGAGTGCAACCAAGGAAGAAATCTTACTCCACTTGTACTCTGATCACTGACATCAAACATTCATTATCTCGAGTGCTTGACTTTGGGTGAGAGAAACGTTGTACGCCATAGATTGGTCGTCAATCGCAGGGCACCCATCAAAAAAGAAACATTCACACTCACGTTCCCACCGAAGAAAAAAAATGGAGTCTTCAATGACCCTAACATGGACGTCTTCATAATCAGAGATGATGGAGTAGATTGTGGATGGAGTATCCAGAGACTCCAGAGGGCCAGACCCAAGATTCAACCACCAAAGTTTATGATGCCAACGTACCAACCACTTTCGCACTGTGCTGGGCATACATCAAACATGCATAGTTTCTTCATAAAAGTCTGTGTCATTGCAGGACCGACACAGCGAGCGACACAAAGAATCTCGCGCCAACCCGCGGCCGCCGAGCCACTCTGCTACCTATGCTACCGTGTCCGCTTGGCACCACCAGCCTGAGAAACTCATTTTGGACGCCTGTGGGTATGAGGCAACTGTAAGTCGCTTTGGCCAAAGACTTTTAACCATTGTGATCAAATATACAGCCTGTTTTAAATCTCTCCGTCTTCCCAAACACCCGATTCAAATGATCAGGATTGTTGACAGGCTTCTCCGAAGCTTGCTGATGAGCTGATCATTTGGGGATCGTAGTGGGAGTAAATGCTAAACAAACTTTTTATGAACACTACGGAGACAATATAAGGAACATTTATGATAACATTTTCAATGTAAGATTGGTACATTCATTTCCAATAGTAGGGTGGCAACTGGGGTAGCAAGACATTTGATAAAAGGTGGTAGCTGCCAACCCTTTCCACCCTGTAAAACCGCTGAAGAGTTTGTGTTCAGGGCCGCAAAATAAATCTATTTTCAACAGTGTACATGGGCTTGCGAGTTTTATTGGCCAGAGGGAGGCCCCTCCAAAATCCAATTCATATATCAGAATGATAATAATAAAGCAATAAATAAACAAGAGGACCCCGAAACTAGACATTGTCATGATTGCATATTTCATTACAGTTTTGTTGACACTGTCTAATCTGATGTATTCTTATGGCAGTACTTAGGTTCGATGATAATCAGGGATCTACGAGGGATCGAGTCCACACAAGATGCCTGCGCTAAAATTAGAGCAAGTATTCCTCAGATCTTATACAGTACATTTTTAAATAAGCATTATTTACATTAAGATACTCTTTGCTTTGCAGAAATCAAAGGATTCCAGAAAAGGTCCCGTTGTTATTCTCTCCATCACCTACAGGGGGGTGAAGTTTATTGACGCAGCCTCAAAGGTAACAACAAATAACAGTTCGGGGAGCCTCTCACTCTTTCGTTGTGTTTATTGAATCCTCTACGTCTCCTCTGTTAGACCATAGTAGCAGAGCACGAGATCCGGAACATCTCTTGTGCCGCCCAGGACCCGGACGACCTGTGCACGTTCGCCTACATCACCAAGGACCTGAAGAGCGGCCACCATTTCTGTCATGTCTTCAGCACGGCAGAGGTGGTAAGTCCTGGCAAACCTTGAACCTTTTCAAAACTCCGCCCCCAAAGACAGTTTCACTAAGCAACATGAAATTTGGCAGACAAGCTTATCATGAGTAGAACCCCCCCCCCCCAAAAAAGTCCCAATAAGCCATGCTCAAAATGTGATCGGTTCAAAAAGCATTTTTCCAGTCATTTTAGCAATTTCCAGGGGTACTTCAAAAACAAACCTGTCATAGGGAGTTGCTACCACATATCGACGCATTAGAGTTTTTGTCAAGGAGCATGCCGCTGAAGTTTGACGACTCACCATAAAACAAAAAACTCTAACAATGGAACTCCAAAATTCATTCCCTACATTCAGTTTCAACTGTTGTCGCAGCATTAGATTTGGTTGACATGTCTATCGATCATGAGTGGACCTACAAAAACCTCTCTAGAACTCACGCCTTAAAGGAATCAGCAAATCTGCCTGTTGGTTTTCAAGAGGCCATTTTAAAAGGTGGGTGCGAGGGCTCACTCATATCCGCTATCAGCTTGAATTAATGTTATTTCACATGGATGTGCCACTGTGAAGGACGCCCGTAGCTTTTTTCCTTCCTTTGATTGGCTTTTTTGAACGGCTTAATTAAATTGTCTTCCCTGATAAGTTTGACATTTCCATGTATGACAGAAACTCAGCTGTGGAGACATCTTGTTTCGTGGCAAATCTCAAATTAACTTCACCTCAGGCTTTTGCTATTAAGAGTTGGGTGTTTTATGATGAGTCATCAAACTTTGCTGCCATGCTTCACGCACAAGAGTGGCAGTGCACTGATAAAAACTAAATTGTTCACAATTTCTCATCATCGCTCTTGGTGATGCTCCACCAACACGCAATGCTTAAGTTTTTTCCTTTTTTTTATAATTTAGTGTCACACATCTGTCAAGTATACTGTACATGTTTGTAATTTGGTAGCAACAACAACAACAAACCCGAAACTGGCTGCTTCAAACCAAAATGGCAAACTTTGTGTCTTTTCATCCACGTGTTCATGAGACTTTTTGTGGGTCAAGTAGTCTCATTGCATTGCAAACATGGTTACCAAATTTCATGTTATAACTGCTACACAATCTCCTCACACAGACGCAGACGTACGAAATCATCCTAACTCTGGGCCAGGCCTTCGAAGTAGCCTACCAGATGACCGTGCAGTCCAGGCAGAGACACTTCATCCCCCACTCGTCCCTGGGCTCTGAAGTCGTCGAGACCAAGAGCAGCCGGCCCGTGTCTCAGGCGTGGAGCAGCATGAGGAGATCAGCAGTGAGTAGCTCCCCACCACCAAAGCGAGAGGCGCTATCGTAACTCAAAGCAGGAAGAAAGGAGGTCACAAGGGATTAGTGTTAACAAATTGACTTCAGTACCGCCCATTCATAAAGTGGGTCATAGGTTTTTATATTCCTCAATATCTCATAGTGTATTTACCTCACGGTTGGTATACGAAGGGCGGAGCTTGACGGAGTCATCCTCCTGCTTCACTGTTGAGTTTGTTCAAGTTGTTGCCCACGCTGTTGACACATCGCAATTTTCAGCCAAGTTTGCCTGCCAAGCGCTGCCCCTCCCCAGGCTCATTTTTATTGTTCTAAAGGGGACATATTATGGAAAATAGACTTTGTAATGGCTTGGATACAAACCTGCCCACCCATCAAATGTGAAATCACATGAACAAGCAAATCTTTTGTGAGCTGCCGAGTTCTGAAAATGAAACAAAACAATTGGAATTTTAACTATACAGAACGTGTCAAAGCCAAAAGACAAACAGGGTTGCACTGTTGTGCAATGTACACATTTTTTTTGTTATTAGTGCACATTCCTCACTTATTGTGGAGGGGCGTTAAATTTGTGTCTTACACATTCACAGACCAACTGACAAATGTAATTTGGCGGCTTAGTGATGAAGTGCTGCCTTCTTGGTGAAAACCCTTTCTATGTTTTGACTGTCTTCATGGTGGCTAGCATATGATTCATATTTTTAGATATGAGCACAAATACAGTACTTGCATAATAACATATTCAGCAGATGTGTTCTGGCAATGCATGCGCAACATACACGGATCGGCACACTAATTGACGAGTGTACATAATTCGGCTTGGTGATGAATTGCTGCCTCCAAGATTGGAAATCCTGTCCATGCTTTTACTATTTTTCATGGACTGTTTTTATCTCTTTCCTTCTACCCTGGGCTGTCTCTTTCCCAGTGAGTGGTCACTTGCCTTTTTGTAACTCACTAGCTTTGCCCAGCAGTAGAAAGAATGTTGGGCGCAAACTTAAAAACCGGCTGATTTTAGAGGGGTCTAGAAATAGGGTACCACAAATATAATTTCGACACATTGGAATGGTTTGAAAATCAAAAGTACTGAAGAAAATACTTCAACATGAGGGGCGGTGACAAGCAACAGACTCCATGATTGTGATCTAAAAGGGATGTTGCCGGACACAAATCAAGGAACGTCTGGTTGTGCTGAGTGTTGGTATTATGGGTGTCACAAATCAATCACCACAATAAAAATGACAAGGAGAAAACATAATTTCTTTCCTCAGTGAAGTGAAGAGAAATACCATTCATTTGTTCCAGACACCTCCCCCCCCCCAAAAAAAAAACCCAACAAAAATCTCTTTTTTAAATATCATTCCATAATATTACACTTTATAACCGACTTCATAAAACTGAGTAATGACACAATTAAATTGAATTAGATATATGTTAAAAGTTTTTATCACACTTTCTCCTCCAATGCACATTGTGCTTCTCTTCTGGTGTGTGTGCCTTCGCCACCTGGGAGCAGTATAAGACAGACATACGGATATAGTGTACTGAAGACTCAGTTCCTCTCTCAGCTGCTCAGCATGGCAGTAATATTAGTCTTTCTTTGCAGATGAAGAAAATATGCCTGTGACTATTGTTAAATTGTCTATGTGTGACCTGCTCCACCATTTATGTTCCACTATCTGTTGCTTAAACTTTAAGCAACAGATAGTGGAACATAAATTTTGTTACCCTTTAAGCCTTAAAGGGTAACAAAATGGCTACTTCGATGCTAATTGTTAGCACGTGTGCCTATGGCGTTTCCCGTTTTATGCAAACAGAAGTTATGTGAAATTAAATATCCAAAGGGGAATTCTTTTGTTTAGTTTGACAGTACCTTCGGCTGAGAATATATATTAAAATTATTTTTTTAAAAAAGCTTGTAGCCTAATTTCTGAAGGAAATTTATTCATTACTGTCTATCTTCTGAACTCCTGCCTGCTTATATCTCTCAAACACCTGCGACCATAAAGTGCTTGTGTGGTGCGTTCTAAGTTTGAGCAAAATATCCGCCGATATATATGTGTGTACCCTGCTTTAAACAATTTGGCGACTACTTTACCCTAAACTACAACTTTTCCAGAAACGCTTTCACAATGCTACTTGAACTTTCTGATCCCAAAGTCCTCACCAACAGTTCATGTGGTCACACTGCTCCTGTCTGTCTTTTTAACATGTCCTTGTCTTCTTGTCTTCTTGGTGCTGCCGCTGCCACCCCAGGGTGCCCCCGTGCTCGAATGCCGCTGCTGTCACTGTCACACGTGCACCACCCACCGTCCTACCTTCCTTCCGCTGCACTCCGTTAGCCCCGGAGTCCAGGTCCTTCTCTTTCCTTGCCTGTACTCACCCCCCCGCTGCCATGGCACACCCACTCAAGCACGCCTTCCCCCGCCACCACATTCATCTTCTACCTTTCCCACCACCGCAGATTCCATCTCCCTCTCGGACCTGCCATTGCCATCTTTCCTCATGGACGCCGTGAGCGCAAGTGTCGCAGTTTAGCTGAACGGAAGGGTTCCCGGTTGTGTTTGCTGGATGGTTTCTTTTAGTTGAAGCGGAAGGTGAATGAGTGTGTAACCTGTGGGATGTGTGGTCAGTCTGTTATTTTTGCCATAAATCCTTATGGGTCAGATTTATGGTCACAGTAGGATTCCAAAGGACCCAAAAGAGTTGAAAAAAATATTCCCCATGAAAAAAAAACTCCAGCTTCAGTGAAAGAAGGAACTAGCTATTTATCCATTTTCTACAGTTCTGTTGTTGTGGTGGTGGTTCTATGCATTTGCTCGCTCCTAGGTCACTGTTCTACCCAAAAGGTTGACTCTAAATGTACTTTTCAGTCAATCAGTGGCCACCCTATATTCATGAAAACAAATTATGAATTTGTGAGCTAAGTGGGTTTTTTTTCCAAATAACAGTTTTTATGAGGCTGAATCAAATGCTCTGGTGGGCCGTATATGGCCCACGGGCTGTATGTTGCCCACAGCGGCAAATACTCAATTTCTCTAAGGATGACCCATGTTCATCCATCCATTATCTATCGTCCATATCCAGATTAAGGTTACAGGCGAGTTCGAGCCGATCTCAGCCCAGATTGGTCGCCAGATAATTTCAGGGCCTATACTGACAAAATACAATTTAAACCTATGAACAATTTAGTGTATTCAATTAACTCAACATGTTTCGTGAATGTGGGCAGAAGCTGGCGTACGTGAAGAAAACCCATGCAAGCACGGGCTTAACATGCCGATTTCGCACGGGAAGTCCAACCATTTACACTGACACATATGGACAGTCAACCATATAGGCTTGTTTTGGGAATGTGGGAGGAAGCCAAACGACCCGAAGAAAAGAACATGTGAACGCCGCACAATCAGGCCCTCGCCCAGATTCAAACCCAGAACCTCAAAAATGTGAGGCAGATGTGCTAACCACTAAAACACTATCCTGTTTTGGGGCTGAACAATTGTTGTCTATGTCCTGCTTGAGTCGTGTTATTATTATTTCGGGTGTGTTAGCTCACGGCGGCGGCCCGCAGAGCTCGTCAATCATCCATGTGGTGCATTGAGCCCCTGGGCTGCGGGAGGAAGCCTCCTGCGTTGACGCCCGTCTCATGCAATCCCTGTCATCCCCTTCTCCCTACCTCCTCCCCTTCCCGATATCCTCTTCATCCTCCTCCTCCTCCACCCGGCAGATCGACCCCCTGGAGATGGACGCCGACATGCACTCCCTGGGCAGCACCTCCTGGCTCTTGGACCAGCGCGATGCCAACAGGCGGCCCGTCAGCACCAAGTACGAGACCACCATATTCTGAGGCCCCCCCACCCCTACCCACCCTCTCCTCCGAATCCCACTTCCACAACCCGTGCCCCCTCCCACCTTGCATCCGGTTCGCAATCCACGCACAGTTCGAGCCCCGTGCCTTCTCACTGTGATGGTGTAGCCACCCCTCAGGGCTGCCTCCTCCTGCACCTCCATCTTTTTCTTTTGCCCAGCAACCTCCGATAAGGATCCCCCCGACTGCGACTGGGGTTGCACCCCTGGACTGAGCTAATTTTTCCTTGCATTTTCAACCCCTTGATAGCTCCCAGAGGTTGCTTATTTGTATATTGTGTCCCAAAAAAAATGAGATTTTCCTCTTTCAATTATGGACTTTTTTTTTCTTTGTCCGTGTGTAGCCTCTCTTGTCTTACCAGGCATCAACCACTGTGAGACTTTGTGAGGAGGGTCAGGATGCCAAACCAATGAGCAGTTTTGTTTTTGTTGTTTTCTATGCATTTGTACAAAAAAAAAAAATAATCAACACGCTGGATGGGTCACTAACACACTTTGCTGCACTTTGAGGAGGCTGGCAGCCCGATGTCATGTCATGGCCCCCCCATCCCAGTGAACACCACCCAATGACTGCACGCTGCTTCTCCAACACACTTGACTGAGAGACTGAGGGGGACAAGGGGGGTTGTTGTGGGGGTCTCTGCTCTGGCCTTGTAACTGCCCTGTGCCTCTCAGCTTCACGGTAGCACGGAGAGACAAAACAAACTTAACAAAAACAACAAAAAAAAAACACTGTGTTAACACATGGCACTATCCCTTTGAATATCTCAGCTGGGGCGCCCGTTTTGTGATACTGTTTTGATAGGCCGAAGTCGGCTGTGACACCATTTGAGACAATTTTTGTAAATGGAATCCAAACATGCCCTGATTATATTTGATTATATTAAAAAAAAAAAAGAGGAGGGCCCAAGCACGCGTTTTCCCCCAACTTAGCATCTCATTATCGCGCTTAAATGTCTCGCACGCCAAGTGTGTGTCATGTCGCGTTTGAAAAGAAACCAAATATACTTTTTTGTGTTGTGGTGTTAACAAATGGATTTGCAATGCTGAGAGCACGATGCGCGCGCACACACACCGTGTTTCATTTAGTTTGTTTGAAAGATGTTGTGGTGTCAACACACGTTTTCTCACACCTGGCCACTGTCCGTGTGTGTATTTATGTGTGTGTTGACAGACTGTTAAACATGTGACCCGTGTGTGTTTGTGCGGCGCCGCAGTAACAGCAGCATTCTGGCCACTGTGTTCTGACCGTGAGCTTCGACTGGTGATGCATGATTGCAGTGTCGTGTGTTTTGGTACTTGTTTGTGTGTGTGTGTGTGTGTGTGTGTGTGTGTGTGTGTGTGTGTGTGTGTGTGTGTGTGTGTGTGTGTGTGTGTGTGTGTGTGTGTGTGTGTGTGTGTGTGGCGTCTCCCATCCACTGCCATCCGTCCATCCAGTTTGAACATCACCACGCAGTCAGCCGCCTCCATCCCGCCGTCCGTCCATCTTCATCCTGCCGTCATGACGTCACGCATCTTCTCCTGTCTCGTGTGTCACCATGGCAACGTGCTCGTATGGCTGCAAAGCAAGGACGATAGAGTCAAGACATTTATTTCGGTCTGAAGTTCAGAGCTGACACCCTCTTCGTATTCCATCTTAACCTGAACCCAAATACGGCTACCAGGGTACCAAAGTTGAGGATGTGTATTTATTGACATGTTGATTTTGCTAGATTGGGGGAATCTCACTCCCTTCACCTTCCACCAGTCTGAGTTTTAGTTCTGAACAAACACCTCTTTTTTTTATTCAATGGTTTCTAAGGCAGCCAGTATAGGCAGCAAACCAGTTGGGCTGCCTGGGGGCTAGCAAGTACAGTGGTGCCTTGAGATACTATTCCAGCCACTCCCCACCGCGAAACTTTTTTTCTTTTTTTTTTTGGGGGGGGGGGAGAAAATACACAAATGCTCATGTAGTAAGTATGCAGTAAATTTTTGTCACTCTCCTTCAATGCCCAACGTGCTGCTCATTCTGGTGTGTGCACCTTGACAACCTGGGGGCAGCAAAAGACAAACAAATACAGACATACTGTACTAGCAATTGGGCTTGTCTTCCGGCTACTCACTACTGCAGTAATAGTAGTTGGTCTTTGCAGATGATAAATAATATATGTCTGAGTATTGTTATCTGGTCTTTCTTTGCAGTAATGTTTTTTGTGCAATGAAAACCTGAGGGCACTTTGAATTTACAGGTGACAGTAGGGGGCAATGCAGGCTAAAATTTCTGACCATTGAGCTAGATGAAAACAGGTGGATTGATCTGCTTAATTCTTATTCCACAAACATAATATTAATCGGAATATTGTGTTTACATTAGTGGGGGCACGTAGAACATATTGCAAAGAATATTGTTGACGTGAGTTCTCCTTGAAAGGGTAACAACAGCGCCACATAGATGCTAATTGTTGGCCTGTGTGGCTATGAAGTTTCCCCCTTGTATGTTATCATTAAGGTAGCTTTAAGTACACAATGTGTAATTCTCTTTGTTTTGTGTTTGTTTTGACAGTCAGGTTCAGCCGAGAGTGGAAATGAACAACTTTAAGACTCCTATTTGAAGCACATTTACTGACATTTTATAATGACATATTATACCTGACAAACTGCCATCAAATGAAAAAAAAAAATCATCTGGTCGATCGCTCGTATTTTGAAAAGCTTAAGTTGAGTGACTGGTATCTCAAGGCACTATGGTATTAAAAGTCCATTACACCTCTGCAGTAGAACCACAAAAAGTTGAAAGAGTGACTAAAATTCAAGATACTTACACATTTATGCCCATTCGCATGTTATGGATTAACTTTTGTTTTTTTTTTTCATTTGCTGTTTTGATGTAACCACAGAAAATATGTTCGAAATGGTTCCTAATTCAATTTGGTTTCAAAACTGGTTTAGGCCGAACTATGGTTGGGTTTGACTTAATTGCAAATGTTTTGTTGTTTTTCAAAATGGTCTTTCACAAATCTTGTCCTCTGTTTCACTTTGTGTTTTGGGATTTACGTCAGACCTTTAAGACAGCAAACTAGTCGGGCCTGAATTGACTGTTCACATTGATGGTCGCTGTCCAGTACTGAAATTATGCCTCAAGAGTGGATCCTAGTAAGCCAGCCACAATTGTGGTGGGCAACAAGTGGTACCTTGATGTGAAACCTCAGCTCAGTGAGGATCTAAGGTATTAACTCACAATTATGCTTTTTTTTTGGCTTTTGGTTTTGTGACATCACAACTGAAAACTACAACAATAAACAAAGCAACATTTGAACAAAAAATACTCAAAATGGTTACTAATTTCAGTTGCTATATTTAGGGAGCAATAGCTGGGCCTGACTCAACTGAAGCAAATGCTTCTTCCTGGACTGCAAAACATTACACTTCAACTGTAATGGATTATTTTTATGTTCAAAATCAAACACTACAAATGATTTACTTTTTGAGATCTTGACGGACTTAAATACAACCAAGCAACCCAAAACTGAAACTATACCTCAAAAAGTGGAACCTCTAAGCCTCATCCTAACACTTGTATGATGTAGAATTGGACCAAAATTCTTTCATACACCTTGTGAAAAAAATCCTCAGTTCTAAACCAGTGTTTCCCAAGCTTTATTGAGCATATATTGTCCGTTTAAAATCACACTGTACAATCGCTACCACAAAAAGTATTCTGAAATAACGATGTCTCAATTTATTCCCAAACATACCTTGTGTGAAATCCGGAAAATAAATAAATAAATAAATAAGGCAAGATCTCGTCTGCACTATCAAATGTGATATAGGGATGCACCTTGAATGGGCGAAAGCATGCCTTACTAAATAAATCTTTTGTCTGGCTATACAACCCTACATGTTTGAGCTGTGAAAACCTGCTTGAAGCTTCTGTTGGGTGGACTATATCTCACTGGGTTGCCGCGGGGGCTTTCCACGCTGTGACGAGTGGCGCGAACCATCAGCTAGCTTCTCAGCTAACAGGCCTGAGGTTAGTAATAAAAATAAGCATGTACCCCCGCAGCCACAATTGGCACATTACCGCTGTTGTGAACAACAACTCTGAAGTTCTTGCATAGTAGGATAGGGGCAACTCATGCCGGACATCCAAGTGCGTCATTGTGCCCCGTTTTATACACCCCCCCCCCCTCACAAAAAACAAAAAACACGAACACTAAAAAGGCGAAAAAGTTTAAACACTAAATCTCCACAATCGCGTACTACGCAGCTCACAGTCTTTGTCTTCAGCAATTATCACCAAACATATTAAGAAACAAATCCGAATTTATTTTACGAGGTCTTAATGTAGAATTAGGTCATATTGACCAGTGGTTGGGAATCACTGGTCTTAATAACAGGCAGGTCACAGTTTTATGATCCCGATTACTTTCAAGGTCAATTTCTAAGTTAGAAACTGCTAGTCTGGCCTTACTCCAGCAGCAGATGCAACAGCAGCTCTATGAAGCAAGTTGTGCGGGCGTGACACAGGTGACACACCGTGCATGGTCTTTGGGAGTCTGTTAACATTTGGTGTTCTCCTTGTGTAGCTCGCCCCGGCCTTCAAGTTCCCGGACACCAAGCTGTGAGTTGGCGAGTGAGCGGGCGGGCCCGTGCGAGGTAAAGCGGGGAAGAGGTAGATGGAGCAAATCCGCTCTTGACATTTAAATCTTGCTGCGTACGCTCGCCGCACCCCGCTTCCTCCCGCTCTCGCTACCTATACACGCAGAGGAAAGGTAAACCTGTCCGACATGGCCGACTAAACAGGACTTTGAGCATAGCTCCCGTCTTGACAAAAAGGTCAGCTAGAAAGATCACTTTTACTTCCTGGCCTGTTTTGCGACCCCTTATGTAGGTACCGTGACAAGTTTGGAGCACTGTATAGACGAGCATGTCCAAAAAAATATATCTATCTATATGTATATAGATAAATAGATATATTCCAACGTTTAAAGTTTTGCCCATGTCTGTGGCCAGAGTTTGGATTTGTCAATGAAAATGTGACACAGTTTCCAACATTTCAGAAAGCAATATTCATGATGTTAATTATACAATGGCAGAAGCATCCCACAAGTGAAGTGTCCGCATTGCCCCCCCATTTATGTCCAAATGAATTGGACCCAAGGATCCTCTTGCTCTGGAGCGGTCTCAGATTAGTTTCCCAAAGGAGGAGGATTCAAGTTGAATACACTCACCCGGTCGCTGGTGAGCTCGAGCTTGTCCCAGCTGGCTTTTGGCGAGAAGCCAATCGCAGGTCAAATGCCACAGAATTGTGAGGCAGAATGCTCCCCCGTTGGCTGTGCCTACTTCCGCTGTTTCCAGCTGTGTTGCGTAGCACAAAACATCAAAACGTGTGTATGTTTCCCATCATGTGTTCAGGACATCCCTATTTTCTAGCAAAATAAAGAAATCAACTCTGCATGCACCCAGATTGAACACAAGATTGCTAAACCTCAATTTGGAGTGCAATTTCTTTTCTAATTTCTAGGGGGAACTATGCCTCAAAAATCATCCATCCATTTTGTCTGGCGTTTGGCTTCATCCAGGTTGTAGGGAAGTCTTGAGTCTTACACTCAGGAAGTAATTTTTTGCCTGTTTGAATTCATTCAGATGATAGATATTACGATTATAAATCTTTGGTGATATTACACATTGACCAGAGGTATGGAGAACATTCAAACAGAATTATGTAACTTAATCAGATAACTGTAAAGTATTACTTTATCTAGCTCAGGAGTGCCCCATTACTGGGGTTGTCTAGTGCCCCCAATGGACTTGCTACACCCCTGCTAAAAACACCTGTCTCCAAAGGGACTTTTATTCATTTTTAGTTTTGACATCTCGTGACAATAAGCAGGTCTGAAAATGAATTGATGGATGGATGGTTCACATCTCCTTTTTTGAATGCCAGCGAAAATGTCATTCATTTTAGATTACTTTGGATGGAATGGTCAACCATTTTCACATAGTTGATTGCACCTGACTTTGAAGGTCTCAGTGGATCATTATAAGTTCATTCTTTTCTGGCCAAGCCACCATTTGATCCACATGTAACAGAAAGTGATCGGATAATGTCTGAAAAACGCATACGGTACCCTAATAAACACAACGAGTCTTACCTGAACTTCTGAGCCACAGTCCGGTCCACAACAAGGAGACAACAGCGCCCCCTTTGGTAAGCAATTTTCTGCAACAATGTCCACACAGTACATTTCTCAGACCTTCCACTCACATCAAGGCTTCTTCTGCTAAGAAACAAAGATGTCATTCGTATATCGCGGCAATTAAAGAGTACCAAAGTGAAGGTGAAATCATTTATAGCTGCAAAAAGATGCGTACCAAACGGTGCCGTTAAACACAAGCGTTTAAAAAAAAAAAGGCCAACAACAGTCCTCCACGGCCACGAATCACACACAGATGACATAATTTACAAAAGCAATGAGGAAAAACTCAAATGTGTTTTGTTTTAATACACTTGCATATTTCCAAAAATATTTAACATAATTTCTGTTCTCAAATAAGGTTAAATTATATGCACGGATTCAGTCAGTCTGGCTGCCATTTACAAATAACATGACAACTCCACAGTTCATGTTTAGGGCGAAGGCAATACAAAGAAAACGTTAAGTGCCATGTTAGTGAAACAAAAGAACATAACTGCGCGGGAACACTTGGCAGCATCATTCCTGCTGATCATGAATACAATCTTCTGTTCCTAGACACAAAACTGCTTGTTTTGCCTTTTCCTAGGCTAACAAAACTACAAAACCTTGTCTTATAAAATTTTATTTAAAAAACAAACAAAAAAAAAAAACACTTCATGGCAGTGCTAATTTGACTCCCTCAGCCCTTCATTGTTATTTTTCGCTAACATTTCCAGGCCCATCTCAATAAATTATAATATTGTGGCCAACTTTTTGTAGTTCAGTAGCTCAAATTAAGAAGTCCAGGTGATGTTATATTTTTTCATGACAGAGTGAAATATTTCAGGATTTTATGTTTGATGATTATAAACTAACAAACCCGAAATTTGCCCTCTCAGGAAGAACAATCAAAATGATTTTTAATACATAAATTAAATTGAAATTGGCCTTCTGAAAAGCAGTTTCCTATATGTTTAATGACTTCCACTTTTGGAATTGAAAAGTAATTTCAATTAATTTTTCGATAATATTCCAATTGATAGAGATGAACTTGCACATCTGAATCCACCAGAGAATCTTTCTCTTGCTTAAAGCTTAAACAGACTTCTAATCTCAGTCGGTTATTCGTATGTAAGCCATTATGGAGACAAAAGCATGTTCCTCAGTCAGATGGTGACGCCGCCATTAAGTTCAGGAGCCCGTGAAGATGAGATGGGGAGGTCATAACCCAGTCCGAGACATGCACACACGCACGCATCCTTTGCTACGAGTCTTTGAGCATGTTGATGCGTGCAAAGATCTTGAGCGCCGGCCCCAGTTTGATGTTCATTGTGCTCATCAGGTGATCTTCCTTCAACAGGAGCAAAGCTTGGCCGTCGATCTCTTGTGAGCGGAACTCATCAGCGATCTCCTGACAGCCTGTGTGGGCAACCAAAAAATGATTTGTCTCGCAATGTACCGCTGCCAAAATACACTCGCACAGTGCAATTAGGACACCACTTCTTCAGCTACACTTTCATAATCTAATGAGAGCCAATACAGGAACGCTATAATCATAAATCCTGTTAACTTCATTAAAACCATCAAAGAGGTGTTAATTTAACACCTGGAAAGCTATTAAGAACTTCAACATGCATGTTTTAGGAATGTGGGAGGAAACCGAAGTACTCTGAGAAAAACCCGGACACAAAACATGAAAACTCCACACAGAAGCCTGCATTCAAACCACCAACCTCAGAACTGTGAGGTGGATGTGCTGTAAGATATTTCAGAATTTAAAAATGTCAAATTCCAAGGTATTTCACCAAAGAGAAATCCTCCTAAAAGAGGGTTGATATGATCTATTTGGAAGCATTCTCAAATTAGATTTCAAGTGTAGCAAGTGTCCTTTGTTGCTGAAAGGAGACATTACACATCAAGTGGGTTTTTCCTGACCTGGTAACGAACAGATGAACTCATACACTTCTTCCACGTTCCACTTGGTGGGGTCGTTGGGTAAGAAAGGCTGACACAAAGCGGCTGAGGCGTCTCTGCCAGCCAGGGCCTCCGGCTCCGACGACGCCCTGCTCGGCTGCCGCTGGACTGGAACGGGGGCCGGGGGCGGGAGCGGAGCTGGGGGCGCCGGGGGTCCTGAACTGGCTGCTGACAGTGGCGAAGGCGGCTCTTCGTAGCTGGACATCTCTGAACATGGGCTAGACTCCTCCTGGCTGGGCTGGGAGGGATGCGGTGAAGACACTGAGCCGCCCTGGGTCTGCTGTGGCGACGGGGACATCTTCTGAGAGGGTTGATGAATGAATGAATGGAAATAACATTATTCCATTGCAGCCCATGGGGAGCCCTCTTACCACCAGGGAGCAGTATAATACAAGACACAAAAAAAAAATAGATTCACAATTAATTGACTCAGTAAGATGCAGTAATATTAGCCATTTTTGAAGATAAAGAACATATGCCTATGAGTGTTGTCATACTGCATGTCGAAATGTATTGCTACTGTTTGTGTTTAAAAAGGGTTTAAAACACTGCAACATCTGTGCTATTCATTAGCCTGTCAGTGGTGTTTTGCATCGTGTGCTAGCATTAAACTAGCGGAACCCAGCCGCTGGGGAGCGGTGCCCTCCCCTGGGGGTGCACTGTTCCCCAGTGCCGGTCCCAAGCCCGGAGAAATGGGGAAGGTTGCGTCAGGAATGGCATCCGGCGTGAAACTTTTGCCAAGACGACCATGCGAGTTGGTAGGAAGGTTTACAGGGGCGGATGGAAATTACTGACTCGCTGTGGCGACCCCTGAATAGGGACGTGCCGAAAGGTGAAGAAGAAGAAGAAGAAGCTAGCATTAAACTAGCGGACTATTTGTAAGGCAAAGATATGAGACTGCTTTGGGTACACAATGTTGAGCTGTTTTACGTTTGACAAAATTTGCGCTGGCAGCAGCAACAAACAACTTGAAAGGTACTGTTTTTAGTCATGACGACCTGTCAAATTGCCAGCTTGTTGCGAAGAATGTTTGCTGCCAGACTCTAGCACTAATATCACAATTTTTTGGTCGCAAGTCAAAAAAAAAAAAGTCAATAAAAATGAGCATCTCAAAAAACGAATAGGTCGGTCACTTGTAAGTTACCACCGTAGTCGCTGGAAGGGCCAGGAAAGTCACCAAGTCGGCATCACTTAGTCACCCCAATCAACTTGGTAAAAAACCGCACACTGCAGTTGTATGGGACAGAACGACACCTCAAAACTGAGTCCTTCCAACCAAAGTGTGACGAGGGGATGTAGTGTAGGATGTGCTGTAATTGTTCATCCTTTGTGTATTTTGACTGAAGAATGTCAGACAGCTTTGATTAAGACATTTGAAAATGGTTTGAAATTGCCCAAAGATTAGCTTAACATTTAAGAAACACAAGGCTAGCTAGAACATTTCGCCTACCCGCTTCTTTGCTTCGATACTTGGGCGGCCCTGACTTCTTCGACGCCAGCGATTTGCTTGTTTGCTTTTCTCTGGACGAAACAGGCCGATGCGCTTTGTGCAGCCCACATTGTACCTGTACATACACATTTGAGATTACTTGTATTAGTACAGTGTACAGATTTATCCATCATTTACTTAAAAAAAAAAAAAGATCTCTGAATTGATCGTTCCACAACGGAAAACAAATTTTCTTCTTGTATCTTACATCCCCAAAATGATGTTTTTCAACCTGAAAGTCAAAAACGTGAAAATGTTGACTTGCCTCTTCGCGCAAACCATGGAGCAGAAGCGCTTGGAACCTTTGAACGTGTAGGCAAAGTCCACCCAGCCACAGTATTCGCACGTGAGCTTGGGCTCTTGATCCTTTTCTGTTGGGACAGAAGACAGAGAATTATTGCTGCTTCTGTTGCTCTGTGTTGATAGGTAATATCAAACGTGAAATTAAATGACCCAGTACATCTTTGGTTATCTACATATTTATAAAAATGTTGCTATGAGAAACCAATTCTGTTCTACATAATAACCATCCCCATATTGAATTTTTCTGCTCATGACTTGATCAACTAGGCCGGCCCATGAGTCACTTTCAAGTGATGGCCAGGCTAAAATGTCTCCTTTAAGAGAGGAAATCCGCATACTGGACAAAAAATGTTTAAGAACAGTCCCGGTGAAATAAAGAAAGAAGTTTCAGCATGGGTTGGACAAACGAAGTATCCACATTGGAGCCACACTGACCTCAGCGCTTTGTGCCTCACCTGTCTGAGTCAAGTCTTCGAGCTCAGAGTCGGAGTTTGCCGCATTGCTGACAGGAGTTTTGTCCGGGTCAGAGGAGAGCTGACTGTCCAGTTTTTTGGGGCTGTTGATGAGGATGGGGAGACGTTCCACCTGTTGACACAGAAATATTCAAATTATTGCAAAATGAACAGATGACATGAAGAAAAACAGCACGACACAAGAAATACTGGTGTGTCCAAATTTTTGATGAATGTACTGCGTGCATCCATGTCTCATCGCACAAAGCAAGTGCGCAATACTTAAAAACACGGGTGCCCAATCTTTTTTGATCGAAGATCTACTTTTCAAGCCAAACAACCTTTCGCGAGCGACCGTTCCCGCACATGCATGCATACAGACACAGCACGCACACACACGTCATGATGAGCAACAGCCATAACAGCCCCTAACATGAATGAAACAAAAAAATAAAGTAGATACAAGAGTTTGTGAACAGGAAATCAATGCCTACCTTGGTGAGAGACCTGACGCAGAAGCACGGGACGCACTTTTGCAGCGTGTTAAATGCATGAGCATCACTATAGTATGGGGGAGACGTTTTACTGCGTTAAAATGCTTCTCCTGGCACTCTATATTCCCATTCTTTGCCAATTCCATCGGTGAATTGTACATGAAACCAACTAAATGAGAACAATAAAAGTACTGCATATATTGCAACAGCTCTGATCGCAAGCTGCAATTGCAGACTGCTGACCGCTAACAACTTCTGGTGATGGAGGTCGCGTGCCAACGTGGGTTAATCACTATAGTATGGGGGAGACGTTTTACTGCGTTAAAATGCTTCTCCTGGCACTCTATATTCCCATTCTTTGCCAATTCCATCGGTGAATTGTACATGAAACCAACTAAATGAGAACAATAAAAGTACTGCATATATTGCAACAGCTCTGATCGCAAGCTGCAATTGCAGACTGCTGACCGCTAACAACTTCTGGTGATGGAGGTCGCGTGCCAACGTGGGTTAAAGGTGACCTGCTTTTTTTATTTAAAAAAAAAAAAATGTAATACTGTTTTGTGAAAGTGAAGCTGATAGGATGTTTAGGGTGCACTGTACACAAATATAAACATATATAATATTAATAACACACACATCTTCCCCCTCAATTTCCCTCTACATCCCCGAGCGATCGACGTCGGGCCAGTCAGAAGCTACTTGTCGCTCACGATCAACTGGTCATGCACCCGTGCTTAAAAATTATATTTCAGAAACACTAATTTGGGCAAAAAATGAAACATTAATCAAAAGCTGTGATTAATACGACGATTAAAAACCATAATATACATGATTGTGAAAAGGAGACGTGAATTGGGGACAAAAGCCTGCAGACGTGCAATGCGAAGGAAGTCACTTGCAACTGTCACCAATTGCCTCCTGACTTTTCTAACATACTGTACATGTGGTATGTTATGCATTCTCGTTGTGGTCCTTAACGTGCTCAATGGGTAAAGGGCCTCGAGACAACTTCAGTTGGCGCTGTAGAAATAAAACTGAGCAAACCATGGAGCAGAAGCGCTTGGAACCTTTGAACGTGTAGGCAAAGTCCACCCAGCCACAGTATTCGCACGTGAGCTTGGGCTCTTGATCCTTTTCTGTTGGGACAGAAGACAGAGAATTATTGCTGCTTCTGTTGCTCTGTGTTGATAGGTAATATCAAACGTGAAATTAAATGACCCAGTACATCTTTGGTTATCTACATATTTATAAAAATGTTGCTATGAGAAACCAATTCTGTTCTACATAATAACCATCCCCATATTGAATTTTTCTGCTCATGACTTGATCAACTAGGCCGGCCCATGAGTCACTTTCAAGTGATGGCCAGGCTAAAATGTCTCCTTTAAGAGAGGAAATCCGCATACTGGACAAAAAATGTTTAAGAACAGTCCCGGTGAAATAAAGAAAGAAGTTTCAGCATGGGTTGGACAAACGAAGTATCCACATTGGAGCCACACTGACCTCAGCGCTTTGTGCCTCACCTGTCTGAGTCAAGTCTTCGAGCTCAGAGTCGGAGTTTGCCGCATTGCTGACAGGAGTTTTGTCCGGGTCAGAGGAGAGCTGACTGTCCAGTTTTTTGGGGCTGTTGATGAGGATGGGGAGACGTTCCACCTGTTGACACAGAAATATTCAAATTATTGCAAAATGAACAGATGACATGAAGAAAAACAGCACGACACAAGAAATACTGGTGTGTCCAAATTTTTGATGAATGTACTGCGTGCATCCATGTCTCATCGCACAAAGCAAGTGCGCAATACTTAAAAACACGGGTGCCCAATCTTTTTTGATCGAAGATCTACTTTTCAAGCCAAACAACCTTTCGCGAGCGACCGTTCCCGCACATGCATGCATACAGACACAGCACGCACACACACGTCATGATGAGCAACAGCCATAACAGCCCCTAACATGAATGAAACAAAAAAATAAAGTAGATACAAGAGTTTGTGAACAGGAAATCAATGCCTACCTTGGTGAGAGACCTGACGCAGAAGCACGGGACGCACTTTTGCAGCGTGTTAAATGCATGAGCATCACTATAGTATGGGGGAGACGTTTTACTGCGTTAAAATGCTTCTCCTGGCACTCTATATTCCCATTCTTTGCCAATTCCATCGGTGAATTGTACATGAAACCAACTAAATGAGAACAATAAAAGTACTGCATATATTGCAACAGCTCTGATCGCAAGCTGCAATTGCAGACTGCTGACCGCTAACAACTTCTGGTGATGGAGGTCGCGTGCCAACGTGGGTTAAAGGTGACCTGCTTTTTTTATTTAAAAAAAAAAAAATGTAATACTGTTTTGTGAAAGTGAAGCTGATAGGATGTTTAGGGTGCACTGTACACAAATATAAACATATATAATATTAATAACACACACATCTTCCCCCTCAATTTCCCTCTACATCCCCGAGCGATCGACGTCGGGCCAGTCAGAAGCTACTTGTCGCTCACGATCAACTGGTCATGCACCCGTGCTTAAAAATTATATTTCAGAAACACTAATTTGGGCAAAAAATGAAACATTAATCAAAAGCTGTGATTAATACGACGATTAAAAACCATAATATACATGATTGTGAAAAGGAGACGTGAATTGGGGACAAAAGCCTGCAGACGTGCAATGCGAAGGAAGTCACTTGCAACTGTCACCAATTGCCTCCTGACTTTTCTAACATACTGTACATGTGGTATGTTATGCATTCTCGTTGTGGTCCTTAACGTGCTCAATGGGTAAAGGGCCTCGAGACAACTTCAGTTGGCGCTGTAGAAATAAAACTGACCTGACTTGACTTAATTAACTGTATTGTTCCTTTTGTATTGGGCAGCCCGACAAACACTTTTCTACATGGCAGTGTCTTCCATTTCTGGTTCTATAGCTTTTGGTTGCCATCACACTTTTCCTTAGCCATCACTCTATGTGTCTGGTGTCAAAAGTACAACAGCAAATGGCAGGTTTTTTGTTGTTGAACTTGTAAGAGGTTCCACTGCACAAGAGAGTTAAAATTGATGAGGGAAAGATGCTCATCACACAGGGTGTATTCTTTTCAACCAGTGTCCATAATTAAAGCCAGAAACACAGACAAGCTGGGAGCTGTCAGCTCGCATAGAGCAAGAAAGTATTTGTGTCTGCCGATGACAGCTTCCCTCCAGGCGGGAGAGAGCACAACAGCTCGGGGCTCGTCTACTCGACTCAGGCTGCCGCCGAAGTGGGTGCCACTTACACACACGGGGAACGGCTCTGCACCCTCCTGGATGACGAAGCCCTCGATAACATGCGTGAGGACCTGTGGCTTGACGATGGCCTGGGGCGGCTTGCTCTCTCCGTTGTGCGGCGCAACAGCCGTCACGCCTGGCACCTCGCTGTCATTTCCAGAGGTCATGGGTGGTGGCGGGCTCCCAGGCGCAGGCACTGGCCTCTTGGTCGCACCTCCTCCTAAGCGGCCAATGACACAACAAAGAACCTTGTTAAAATGGAGAAAACGTTTTTTGAGGAGCTCATCTGCGGACTACAAAAATGTATACACTGTACAAGGTGCGCCGAAAGGCTGGAAATGCGATGGATGACGTCAACTTTTCAAAAATTGTGTATTATGCAAAACTGTATTAAATGTTGGAAATCAATGTCAGCTGTTCTTTGTCAATATTACAGATAAAACCATTTGTTAAAAAGGTCATTTCTTGAAATTTGTGTACAAACGAAGGAAAAATTATCAAATTGTCATCACTTCACTTTTGACCAGTCTTTTTTTCTTTCCTTCTTTCCCAAATTCAATTGTGGGATCTATTTTGTTTGCAAGAGTTCTCTTACCAGCTTCGGCTCCTACTCTGCAGAAAACACGTGGCGCTGCTCGGTTTGTTGTTTTTTGTCGAAGGAACTGTCATCTGTGTTGTTCTATTTGTTTTAACACTTTTTTTAAGCGCCAACGCCGCTCCACAGTAGCTCACGCATGCGCGCCGGTTACACCCACGCGACCGAGTTGGGAGCCCGTAACAGAAGACCAGCTGGAGACAGGATGACACCATGCATGAAACATGCAGGGCCATCGCGAAAATGTCACCCTCCCATTAAAAACCCTGTCTTTTTATGCCCTCTACATTGACAGTTTATGTTCACTCAAAATTAAATCATCATCAGCTCTAACTCGACATTAAAAAAAAAAAAAAAAAAAAAGTGACCAAAGTAACAGTTCCTCTACTAATGTGGTTATTTTTTTATTGCTATGCAAACTAAAAACCCAATTCCAATTAAGTTTGGCGGTTGTGAAATAATGAAAAACAGAATACAAAGATTTCCAAATCATATTCAACCTACGGGTATATTTAATTGAATACACCACAAAGAAAAATATTTCATGGTCAATCTGATGAAGTTGACTGTTTTTAGAAAATACTCATTAAGTTAGAATTTAATAGCTGCAACACATTCCAGAAAAGCGGGGACAGGGCTACAGCTGTTGTGAAAACGCTCCATTCATTAAGATGTATTGTATTACTGGATACCACTGTTTTTAATCGCCTTTTCTTTTAACAACATTCAATACAGATTTGGGAATTGAGGACAATACTTTTTGAAGCTTTGTGGGTGGAATTATTTTCCATTTTTGCTTGAAGTGGAGCTTCTGCTGTTCAACCATCCGAGGTGTCTGGTGTCGTATTTTACGCTTCAGAATGTTCCACACATTTTCAATGGGAGACAGGTCTGGACTGCAGGCAGGCTAGTCTCGTACCCGCACCCGTTTACTACAAAGCCACTCTGCTGGAAAATTTGCAGGTGGTTAGGCATTGTCTTGCTGAAATAAGGAGAGGCGTCCATGAAAAATACTTATGCTTCTCCAAAACCGATATGTAGTTTTCAGCATTAATGGTGCCTTCGCAGCTGTGTAAGTTACTCATGCCATTGGCACTAACACCACAACACATCATCATATATTCTGGCTTTTGAACTTTACGTCCATAACAGCCAGGATGGTTCTTTTCCTCTTTGGCCTGGAGGACACGACGTCTACAATTTCCAAAAATAATTTGAAACATGGACTCGTCAGACCACATAACACTTGTCCACTTTGCATGAGTCTCTCTTAGATGAGCTTGGGCCCAGAGAAGCTGGCGGCGTTTCTGGGTGTCAAGGTTAATCTTAATTGTCAAATGTGCTCTATGTACATACAGCACAGATGAAATTTCTTTCTCTCAATCCTCATTTCAAACATACAAACATGCTGTGCATTAAAACACACAGCTAGAGATAAACCAGCAAACAACACTGTATAAAAGGCATAGATATATAAATCTAAACAATAAAAATTAAAAAACACTAGCACTTTAAGTTGCACTTACGGATGTAGCGCCAAACTGTATTTATTGACATTGGTTTTCTGAAGTGTTCCTGAGCCCATTTGGTGATATCCTTTCCACACTGATGTCGGTTTTTGATGCAATCCCGCCTGAGGGACTCACGGGCATCCCATCCAATGTTGGTGTTCTGCATTACAGCTCTCCTGTAGTGATTTCTCCAGATTCTCTGGATCTTTTGACGATATTATGGAGCGTATATAATGAAATCCCTAACCTTCTTGCATTGGTACATTGAGGAACATTGCCCTTAAACTGTTTGACTATTTTCTCACGCAGCTTTTCACAAAGGGATGAACCTCGCCCCATCTTTGCTCATGAATGACTGAGCAATTCTGTTACAAGCGTTGACACGAAAGAAGTCAACAATGACAACAACGGTCAGGCTCAGTCCTGAATAGGGTTGCGTAATTCAAGTTGGAAATATTCCATGGGATTTAGCAGTAATTTACCAAGTCTGTGAATAAATCAAGAATTTACAAAAATGATGGTAGGCTCTTACAGACGAGTTTGTGGATTTTGATTGAAATTTGGGGTATGATGAAGTTCGGGTTTGTCACTGCTTGTATCAAAGAGGGGAGGGGGGTGGGCAGTAGCAATTTAGGTATTGTATTGCCCTACGTTAGGAGAGCTAGCTATTTTGCATTGAAGTCTGCTTATAACAAACCAAATGTTATATTTTTGCTTGATTATGATACCATTCTATTAAATCAACCTAAACTCCCAGTTAACTTCCAAGGACAGTTTCCAATTTGAACTATTCCTAAATTCTCCACATTACATTCTCATGGAAATTTACTGGAAATGTTCCATTACCTTGTGGTTGACTTTGCGGCACAGTGTCAGCTTTGGCATGCTCTACAGGCTTCCTGGGTTGAGATGGCGTACTTTGCTGCTGTGGTGGTGCTGGCGGTGACTGCTTTTGTTGTTGTTGTTGCTGTTGTGGCTGCTGCTGCGGGGTGGAGGCGGCACACGTCTCTCTCACCACGAGTGATGTTGGCTTATCTTTACACTCCTGAACCAGTGTTCGAGAGGCCTGCAGTTTCAACGGAGAACAAAACGTTACTGAGCGAGGGGATGTATGTTTTCCTTGACAGATGAAGGTCCTTTCCCATTTATTATTTTCTTCCGCTTGAATAAGATGGCTTTACAGTTAAGAGGAGATAGCTGGCCAGTGTCCAGACAGATACTCCCTATGAAGCTGAAATTGCGCCAGATTGACTTTTTCTCCTGCCAATATTGTCTGAAATGCAATGTCACTATTCTATAATTATTCCACATGTTAGACGCTGATTAAGGGATACATTGTCACCACAGACAGCTATGACAATATCCTACCTTGACTGAGTTGCGTTTAAAGTCCACCACACACTAAGGAACGCAACCTAATGCAGTTGAACTGGACAATCATACATTTTTTTTTAAATAGTCTGCTCCTCATACATATAGGTGGTGCTCAGAAAGTATGGTCCAACTAGATGGTAAACGCTGACCCACCTCGAGAGTCAATTATTCTCTTCCCTTTACAATCAATCCCGATTTCACTGCTATCAATATTGCAGACATACTGCAGAGATAAAAGGAGCAACTTGACTGAGACATGTGCTACCATTTGTGAATATATTTTGACTGTTGAAAAATAGCCATCGCGGCCACTTCCTCTTCGTGATATGACAACACACCCATGTAATTAAGAGCCCTTTTTACCTTTAAAATGCATCGGTTTCAAAAACAGTTGTTACCAGTAAACTGGCAGTGTCTATGCAACTCAATACTGTTTATTTTGAATGCCACGTTGTGCATATGTCGTCAGAAAAAAAACATCATTTAGATTTTTGTGTTCACAAGGTGCCATCGACAATCTACTATTGTAATGTACTGTATACTTTCACCAGAACCACTTTCTGTGTTGAACCGGATGTTCACTGGTTGTCCTGCAAAATATGCTGTTAACATTTTTTTTTCCCCGACATGACCGAGTAAGCGACATGTCTAGTGGGGTGTCCAGTTTTATTGGTATTGCACGTTCAATAAAATAGATCAATAAATTATAAGATAACCTTTATTTGTCTCACAATGAAGAAATTCCCAATTTACAGCAGCAAAAGTATGAAAGGGAGAAAGTAGAAGACAAAAAGTCTATTATTATGACACTAGTTGCACACACTATTTCTTCAGTGTATTGTTGCGCATGAGTCAGCAAGATTTGAAAGGCACAGTTCAGTTGCAGGCATTACATACATTGCTAAGTGAATGCTGATCAATTGTTGGTGTCTACCGTGCCTCCAATGTAACGCTATGTAAATAAGGGTCTTTTTTTTTTTTTTTTACTTTTCAGAGTTACCTTTCTACACACATTTGGTCATTTATACCATTTTTTTCAACTGAATATCTATGTATGAAGGTGGTGAAGTTGTTCAAGTGTAAAAATAATCAATTTTAAAATATCGATATTTTTTTACTTGAGTGCTTTGTGCCCAGGTACCAAGTGCTCCATCCAATATGACTTTGGAATAGACCACGGCATTCAACAATGTCTTGTGAACAATCTATTTATTCAGAGCACACTTCTGGGAGGTTTGATTTAAAGCATAATATGTTTATGTACATAATTTTGACCAAATTAATTTTTGGGCTCCTTTGTCACACTCCTGTCCCATACCTTCTGAGAACCACCTAGACAGTAACTCGCTGCAAAGGAAAGAATTGCGACTAAACTTGAATTGTAACAAAAGAAATTGCTGACGGTTGACCACTCATGAAAACAAATTTCAGAACACCTCACAGAACTGTTGCTTGGTGGGTGGCACGACTAAAACGTAAAGGCAGCTTAATGCTGGATACTTTGGAGGGTTTCTGTGTAAATAGGCCAATTTTTAGATATGTAGTGAACAGGTGTATGCATGGACATAGCTTTAAATTACCAAATGGTTGGGCAACTTGCAGATCGTACCGTGGGATGTATTTGTAGGTTTATAGCTGTGAGCTGCACAGGCTGAGCTTTGGCCTGACTCGTCAATGTGGAAGAAGAGGTTGATGAGGCGGCGGGCTGGAGTGTGTGGGGGCTGATGGTGGAGTGGAAGATGGTGGCATGCTGCCCGGGAGCGGCGTTCTGGTGTGGCGCTGGCTTGGGCAGCACGGGGATGGGGTGTGGCGATGGCTGAATGGACGCTGTCTGTAGCAACTGCCCGGGGGTCCTCTGGGAACTTTGGCTGTGATGGACCACAAACTGCTGCTGCTTGTGTTGTACCAGTGAGTGGGGTTGAATCTGCGTGAAGGCTGCAAGCAAAATATATATATATATATATTTTTTTAATTTAGGAATTCACAGTGATATGCAGGCCACATTCAGCATAAGGTTACTTTGATGCCAAAGACAAGATGGTCTTTATTAAAACCTGTGTGTGCGAGGAGTAAACCGGTGTGTTAAGGAGTATTGGGGGCTTGACAGCAGTCATTCGTTAGCTGCCTACTTGTTCCGATCCAAACCACATCCTTCTGCTAGCAACAGTTTCTCTCATAACCACTTTACACATACAAATGACTGTTTACTGCTCAAATTTTCCAAGATTAATTCTGAATTTGCTAAAACCGCGTCCAGTATCTTCAATGACGACTGTGTATCAGACACACAAATGCAACTAAGTCATTATTCCTGGAATTGACTCACAAAATGGCTGAGGTGTGTTTGCTCATGCGAACAAAAGGCCCCATCAAGACACGCATTAGGACCTGCTTGCCTCCCTCCCCCACATGCATTGAATTGAATCCATCTGCTCTCGACCTTTCATTAACACGGGCTTGTTCCTTGCTGTGGAAGAAACATCCCATTCCGGATAACTTTAGTGTTTTGTTTCCGTTTTTTTTTTTTTTTAACATGTCTCAAAAGATTGTTGTTTTTGTATCATGCCATTTTAAATCCTCATTTCAGAAATTGCCAGAATTTGTTTAGTTTAATTCATGTTTGACATGTATTTATTTATTTATTTTTAGATATACGGTAAATCGCAATCCATTGTGGGGGTTACATTCCAGAAAACCCTCACAATAAGTGAATATAGAAATATACCTCAGGCATGTTATAGCATTTGCGGCACTTACTATTTTTAAGGTTTTTAAACACATTTTTGTATATTGAAAGTAACCTCTTGTTCATCTGACTGGAGAGCATGTGGACGCCGCTTGCTAAAATGTTTACCACAAGCTTCATCCGTTGAGACATAGATCCAATGGTGCCTATGAAATTGTAAATATGGTTAAGGATTGCTGTAAAAAAACAATATGTACTGTATGTGCTGAATATATTGCATTTTTATGACATGGCTGCGGGCGGCTGTCTTCCACTGGCTTAAACTCAAGAGATTGACTTTTCGTCTGTTTGAAAGATTCTGTGCATTTAATGCGCCACGTCATGCAACTTGAGTCATATTTTGACTCGTCCCTTGTGTCTCATGGCTGAACCCTGCCACTGTGAGCGTGCAGTAAAGCCTCACACAGTTCAGCTGATCCTTCCCCTAATCTGGCCCAATTTAGTGGTGCCTGTTTTAATGGAGAAGAACGAAGGCCAGGCCTGGCAAAACAAGGCTGGGACAGAGTGTGGCAAGGTCATTCCTCAACCTGTAATGGAAAAGCGCCTTCAAAGGCTGCCATTTTTCAGTCATAAAAAAATGTTATGGAATACATTAGTGTGTTCTACTGAAATCCAGTCAGTTGTCATGATCCGACTAGTCTCAGCTCTTCCACATCCATCCTCCTCCTCCTGGCCCCTCATGGCAGGCTGCTATGGCAACCCAATGTAAACTGTTACCGACGGCATGCAGGTACGACTTTTGGCTTGTCTTCTCTATTTGGTTTATGTGCATCAATTAGTATGAGACAGTCAGATGCAGTTGTGCATTGACACATTCTCATGTCCTTTTTGGCAGACACACACACACCACGATTCAGACTGAGGTTCAGGCCACACAAACATTACATTGAAACCTTCAGTCAAACCCAATGTGTTCCGGTTCACTTCTACATTGTTCTAAACAAAATTTCCCACTTGAAATAATGTGAAGTGAATTCATTTGGTTCAGGCTCATTAATATAAAACCTTTAACTGTACAAGTGGAGTGAAACGTCGACATTCTGAACGATGGAACAAGTTGAGCAATAAGTTAACCACTCTATAGTAAAAATAAAACCTAAATACAGTTGAAGATGCCTGACATACATTCTTGGAGTGAGAACAGGATGGTGTTAGTCAGAGCAATACTGGCTCCTAGTGGTGATATTTACTATATTAAACTCGGGTTAAGCGTTGTTCACTGTTTAAATTTACAGTATTTATTTTGCTACTATATTACTTGTATCAGCTCATGCAGTCATTCCAGTCCAGGTTTTAAGGTTATCACACTTTTTCTCTTTGCCGCCACTTTTACCTGCCTTTAGTGGTGTACAAAACAACACCAAAAGCCAAAGAAAAAGCCAAACCGGGTGACTGGGGCAGATCCATTAATTGATTCAAAAGAATGGGACTTAAAATTCAACCACATTTGACTTGGCTCAGTGGGAAAGTAGTCGTCTCCCAACCCAGAGGTTGGGGGTTTGATCCCCAGCCACAATGAGACCATGTCAAAGTGTCCTTGACCAAGATAATGCCCCAGTTGTTCCTGTTGCTGCATTATCAGTAGGTACATAAGGTAAGAGTGTAAAGAGCTTTTACTACTGAAGGGAGAAAGGCGTGATACAAGTGAAAGTCCATTCCATACCATTTCATTTCGCATAGTGCCTCTGTGATGTGCAATCACTTGTTTATGTCTATTGCTTTTTTTAAGGGATATCTGGGTCCAAACTTGTAATGTTGTGAAAAATTACTAAATCATGAAAGGAAATTGGAAAACAAGCTACATAACAATGAAGCTTTACAGATATCACTCACCTGGTGCGATGAGCGGCTGCGCAGTGACTGTCGTGACATTGCGGCTCATATTAATAGCCCGGGCCTCCGTAACTACTGCGGCATCCCCCTTCTTTCCTGCCTCCGAGGGGCTCTCGGATGAGCCAGACTTGATTCCCGCAGATGCTTGCATGCCCTGGCTGGGGTTCTTGACAAGCGAGGCAGGCTGGATGGGCACAGGGCTGTGCTTTAAACTGAGAGCCTGAAGGGTCTGAGTCTGCGAAGTGGACGTGGTCGCTCCCTGCTGGCTACGTATGGCCAGATTTTGGACCTGATTCTTAACACAAAAAGAAGCAAAGGTGATTTTATTTATCCATCCATCCATCAATTATCTATACAGCGTTTTCATTAGTGTAGGTTGGAGCCTATCCCTATATTATTTGCATGAATAAATGAATATTCAATGGAGAAAAACGTAAGTGCATCATGCAGTATTATGTATCCGTCCAGTCTCTGAATAAACCACTTATTCTCATAAGGGTCATGGGCGTGCTGGGGCATTTTCCGGATGACTTTGGGCTAACTGGTCATCAGTTAGTCACACTGGTCAACAATTTAGTCTTCAATGAACCCGTCAAGCATGTTTTTGGAATTTGGGAGATAACCGGAGTAACTGGAGAAAACCTAGACAGGCACGGAGAGAACATGCTAACTCCATACAAGAAGACCGCAGGCTGGATTCAAACCCTCGACGTGTGAGGCCGATGTGCTAACCAGTCATTCACTGTGCCATCCTACAGTATATTGTAATAGATTATGTCATATTTTTGGGTCACATCAGAAATCCTGATGTGTGTGTGAAAGGCTTTGTGATGCCCTTTTTTTGACAACTTGAAAATAGTTTTCACATAAGCAGCACACCTTAGGTAATTGATGAAAATTGAACACCTCTGAAAGCACAACATTAAGGTTCCATTGGGAATCATGATGTGCGTTTGAAAAGTGCTGACCTAAAAGTGTTATCTTTGGCAACGTTTTTCTATTTTTGGATTGCACCGGGAATCTTTATACATACGTAGAAAGTTCCTGGTGCTCCCAGACCGAAAAATCTTTTTTTAATTTTCAAGAGTGAGTACAGGGTGTCCTTGGTTTTATGACAGTATCGACATTCAAGGTTACACAATCAGCATGCAATGAACTAGTTTCCACTGCTCTGGGCTAGAAATGTCTTCCATACAATATTTACTATAATTATGACTTTCCTACTGTGTTAGCCTAGGTCAGTGTCAGATTACATAGGAATAGAACTCAGAAGTTTTAAATTGAGGACCACCAACACTGATTACACAATGTCAATTCTAGTTTTTAAAATTGTACAATGGTAATATGCCATGTTTTGGGTATGTTAACATGACAATGATTTACCAAATCTCTTGAATGGGCCCTTCCATTGTACAGTTTGTACATTCTTCCCATGCTTGTGGAAGTTTTCTGTGGGTACTGGAGCTTTCTCCAGCATCAGAAAATGGCATGCTGAGTTCAATGAAGACTCCAAATAAATCGTTCACTGGTTTAAATGTGAGTAAGAATGGTTGTTTGTCAATCGCATGTAACCCCAATGTTGGCAAGATCTATTGAAAATGCATGCCATTGATGTTCTGCTAAAAATAATGTGTCACTTTGGGAGCCATTTTGGGGTTTTCATACCCGTTGTGTAAAACGAGCAGACAGTTGTTTTCCCCAATCTTAAATTTTAAAGCAGTGCGCGGCGCTTGAAGAAATAAACGGCGACAGTCCATGTACCTGCGCTGAGCTGTCGGACTGCATCGCCGTCACGGTGGCCGTCGGTGTGAAGATCAACTGCGGCGACAGGGGGACGGCTCGGCCCAAACTCCTGGCCACTTGCACCAGATTGCTCTGCTGCGCCTGGAAAACGTTGCTCTGCTGGGCCTGGGTAAAAACAAAAACACACCAGAAACCACAAATACAACAGTCAAGGACGCATCAATATCAATGTAGGAGGCAATAGAATCTCAAGGTAATGCAAAGTTTCAGTGCCAGCCTCCAGCAAAGGTGAATAACTTGAAATTAATAAAAAGGGATTCTAACTCATCCAACCTTCAATACATTGCAATGATTCTTTGAATGCGGCACACCATTTAGTATCCATATGAATAATACCAAAAAGATTGCAATTTCTGAGGGGGTTGGGGGGTTTTGTTCCCACCATCTGTGCACGCAGGTACATCTGCGCCTGGCTGGCAGTGAGGGTGGGACTAGACGGGCTGCCCAGCAGAACAGCCTGTTGGGAAATACTGGTGGGAGCCGACGTGATGCTCTGGGCACGGCTGATCAGCTGTGCAGCCGCCGGCGAGGCGGTGAGGTTGATCTACAGGGTGGAGGAGATCAGGGGGGGAGAAGAGGACTTTCAAAACTTTTTTTTGGGGGGGGGGGGGAGGGAGATGCTTCACAATTAAACGTTCTGTTCAGTATACCCGCTTCAGTTAATTTGTATAATTTAACCCAAACATCCTCCGCTGAGGTCTACGCTTAACTAAGAGTCATTCATCCCAGCTACCTGAACTTCAGATACTGGTCTTACTGTGGTTTGAGTCGATCCTGTTTGTTGAGATGTTGTGCCATTCTGGGAGTTCTGGCGACCAGCTGCGATACTGGCCTGTGGCAAGGCAAGCAAGAGGGTAGAGGTATATTTTACAGACTGCAGACAAACATGCAAGAAGAATGCTCCCCAAAAATATGCGCTTGGGATGGGCGTTATCACCTGCTGCACGGCAGCAAGGCTCTGCAGCTGAGCCGTGCTGAGGCTGTGTTGCTGTTGCAGTGCTGCGGTCTGTAACATGAGATGCTGCTGCTGGGCCGCGTACATCTGCTGTAGGTACTGCGCCGCCGTGTTGGGCTGCCTGTGGAGCGCTTGCTGGATCACCTGAACAACAGAGCAAGCCACGACACAACATGAATGACGACATGTGCAGCGGAACCTAGTAAAGGTAATCTGCCATTTTCAGGTACAGTACACAAATGCAATGGGTAAGGAAAATTATTGGCATTTAAAAAATTTGGGGTGACTTTATTCCTGCATGGGCGGCCCGGTAGTCGAGTGGTTAACACATCGACTTCACAGTGCAGAGGTTCGATCCCAGCTCCGGCCTCCCTGTGTGGAGTTTGCATGTTCTCCCCCTGCCTGCGTGGGTTTTCTCTGCGTCTTCCGGTTTCCTCCCACATTCCAAAAACATGCATGGCAGGCTGATTGAACACTCCAAATTGTCCCTAGGTGTGAGCGTGAGCGTGGATGGTTGTTCGTCTGTGTGTGCTCTGCGATTGGCTGGCAACCGGTTCAGGGTGTCCCCCGCCTACTGCCCTTAGACAGCTGGGATAGGCTCCAGCAACCCCTGCGACCCTAGTGAGGATAAAGCGGTTCGGAAAATGGATGGATGCATGTTTCCTTGCATCAAACTCGTGCAGTGGGAAATGGCAAAAACATTGCATTGAGCAAATCAGTCTGAATAAGATGCTTGAGCAGAGAGTCACAGGGTATCAGAGGGAGATCCGTATTTCCAGAAATGGGCACCTTACTTTGCCAGTCTATCCTCCGTCCGCAAGTTGGGCACCCTTCTGTAATTATTATCCCGCCAACCATATTTATTAAATAATCATCCTCCATCTCTGACCATCCTGATCCTTTTAAAGTGCTTCCATCCTTACATTACACCACTCCCAAACACCACCCCTCCTCCGCAAAAAAATGTCCAACAAATGAGCATTGGCAGTGGCTTATCTCACCCGTACTTGAGCCCCGGTTGAGCATATACTACAAGTAGTTGGTTGTCCTGTGAGTTGCCAGTGGAAAAATGTGGCAACATAATTAGGTACCATCTATTTTCTATAGCCTTTATCCCGATAAGGGTCGTGGTCAGCTGAAGCCAATCTCAGCAGTTTTAGCTGCCATAGTGGAAAAGGTACAACGAAGATTCCAGCCATCTTAAAATGAGTGGAAGCAAAGGCTGCTCCTTTATGCTACTAAACGAGCCATTCTGCTTGACTGCTTGGAAACAATGCTGTTGGTCTGAATGGAGGAGAAACCTGCCATTACAAGTCAAGCGGTACCTAATTCATCCAGTGTGGAGGCTAATCCTGGGGGTCATGGTGTCAAGAGCACTAAAGTGCAAAGAGCATTGCCCCCTTTGATAGTTTTTAAAGACAGGAAGGAACATAAACATCTCTCATTTCAGTCACATTAGCATAGCTGCGGAAATAATCACCTGCACAGTTTGCCTGTCGGGTATCCCGCCGTAAACTGAAATCTGAGGGACTGCTTGTCTGGCCGCAGTAGTACTACTACTACTGGTGCTGATACTAGTACTACTACTACTACTGCTGCTGCTGCTGGTATTAGTATTGCTAGCAGAAGCAGTTGTGGTCGTAGACGGTGTAGTTGTGTTAGTGCTGCTGGTTGTGGTGGAGCTGGTGGATGTGGTTGTGGTGGTGATGATAGCTGCAGAGCTGCCGCCTGTGGAGGAGGAGGTGGTGGTGGTGGTGGTGGTGGTTGCGGTGGCGATGGCGGGCGATGCGGTGGGGGCCCCCGGCTCACTCATGGTGCCCTCTGCTCTTCTCACCTTTGACCCCCGGCTTTTCTGAATGGCCCGCCTGTGCCTGGAACACAGCACCGAAAGTGGCGGGCATGAGAAAGGAAACAGCACAACTATAAAAGCAAGGCGTAGTAGTTGAAGAACACACCGGTGGACGCAGTTTTTCCCGTTGCAGCGAGTTGGCATGTGTGCGAGGGTCAATCGCCAGGTGTGCGGGGGTGATACGGTGATTGTGATTTGTTTTCAACTCTGTAGTTCAGTTGTGGTGCAGCATGTCGCTTGGTGTGTGTGTGTGTGTGTGTGTGTGTGTGTGTGTGTGTGTGTGTGTGTGTGTGTGTGAGAGACATGCCTTACTTGATTGCTTGGTGAGGTTGTCAAGGTTAGCAGTGGCTGGGGTGTGGGGGGTTGCTTTTCGTGATGGGTCCATGTGCTACATCTACACAGTGCAATGTATGAAGTGCTGCCGACACAAGTGAAAATGCTGTTACCTGTATTGTCTTTGTGTGCATTCGTTGGTTTCACTACACTGCGCTCTACTCCCATAAGTGCAAGCCTTTATTTTTTCAAAACGTTTGTTGTTTTATTTCTTAGTCTCTTATATATGGACTGTTTTTATATGGTTCCAACTAGTGATCATATTGAAATACCACATAACGGAAGTTCCTTGAGTTACAGGCTACATTTAAGTAGACTTATGCCAACCTGATCGACGGGATCGAAGCCTGTCTATATTTTGCATTTTATGCAAAATCGCTGCTCAACTGTAATGTCAAATTTTATGGGACGAAATTACAAATGAAGTCAATATAGTGTGCGTAGTTAGGGCCAAAAATGCGCCGCTACGAATGTGCCAAAAGGCTTCAAGAATGTGCTTACTTTGTCACTTACACATCACACACACCAGGACTAACAATGGACATGGACTAACAATGTAGGACAAAATAATCATTGCGGTCTGTGGGCACTGGGACTTGTACAACACAGCCAGATTCCAAAACGAGACATAAAAGATCATGTGCAGGCTAACTTGGCGTAGCTGTTAATTAAATGTATGGGCTCAAGTGACAGCTGCTGAACCAAGAGAGCAATAGTTTTAGCAAAATCCCCGACAACCTGAATGACTGGCGATGTTCATGCATTTTTTTTTGTCATTAATGTCATATAAGGAGATGTAAGCTGATGCTTGATTTAATGTTTATCTGTTCTTGTTAAATACATTTGGGGAGTTCAATTATTTATTTCCAATGTATTTTCACTCTGTCAGGGGGTGATCTTAAAGTAAATCTACCAGTTGTTTTAACAGACTATAAAAACTTTGATTGTTTGATTGATATATTGCTCCATCTTTGAATCAGTAATCGACTATTGTTTTTTTTTGTTTTCCAAACTCGCTGATCGCCTTAAAAATCCTGATCGCATAAAGCCTACATTTCAGTCAAATATGTTGTTTTCCACCTGTCAGAAAATTATGCAGGTGGAAAACAGTTATTTATCAATAATCATAAGTTGTTCCGCTGATAAGTGTTAATATTTGAGTTAAACTTATGCCATGTTCATGAAAATTGTGTTATGGGTCTTACTTAAAGAAGGAAGCTCAAATAGTTGTTTGGGAGTTGACCTTTTGATGTGTGTCATCGAGAAGCAATGCTCACGGCAGTCCATTTAAAAAGCCTACCCGATGAAATTGCTCCGAGGCGACGAGCTTGCATGTTTGTTATGGCTAAACTGCGTTTGGCACTTAACTACCCTTTTGGAAATCCACTTTAGAAGTTGGCAAACAAAGGATGGAAAGCATGACCATCCCAGCTTTATTTAAGACACTGGGGTTGTGATGCAATTACATTGAAAAGCAGTATTATGCACTGCATTTATTGTGCTTCAAAGTCAGGGGACTGTACCTCTCACTTGATTTGTGGATGGTCGTTTTTAAAAAATGTAAATATATTTTGTTGAGTTTTGACGACACTATACTGTTCAATGATCTTGCACAAGAAATACACGCTAAAACAATTCTCAAACTAATAAAAACTCAACTAAAACCAAGAATTAAAAAAATAAAAATAAAACTAACCAAACCACTCTGAAAACTAAAACAACAAAACTAGATAAAAACTATGATGAAAATTCCAAAACTATTATATTAACCCTGGCGAGCACCCAAATGTAAGTACCGGTACTTGTACTCCCCCCCCCCCAAAAAGTGGTACGAATGTACCCCTAAATACAATTGAACAAATCAGTCAAAGATCCTCCTTGAACAGATTGTCTGAAGTCCAGGTGGCCCGCTGTCACCAAAAGAAAAGATATATATATATATATATATATATATATATATATATATATATATATATATATATATATATATATATATATATATATATATATAAACAGACAGACAGACGGAGAGAGATAGATAGATAGATAGATAGATAGATATATTCAGAAATGAATCACAAAGGAAGTGTCACTGGCAATGCCAGCTCCCTGACGTCGATGCGGGCATTAGTGTCAGCAGGGAAATTGATTCTGTTTAAGTGCATGCCCAAGAGCAAATTAAGAGCAGAAATGGGTACATTTAAGTGCATGTAAATAAAACACCCTGCCACTGCAGTCTGATTAAAGACACACAAGACTTGGTATCACAAAATGTTTTGTTTTGTTTTGTTTTTCCAATTGCGGCGTGCCATACCAGAACAAAGCAAGCAAAAAAGAAACCTCGCATTACTCGACTGGCTCCCATTTGGAATTTTTCTTATTTAAGGATGGATACACCGCTCATGTAGCAATATTTGGCCATTCTAATTGTCTTTGGATGCTTTTATTTGTTCTGTTCAGGCACACACATTGGCAGATATCTGATAAACATTTGGATTTTTATACACATCTGGAAAAGGCCTGCTTCCAATTTGAAGACATCTGACAACAGACATTTTTTATTCTTTTAAATATATATGGATATCCCAATCATACCACCTGAGAGCAAAAACAAGCAAAAAAACGAAATTATGTAAATCCAGCCTTCGAGACTAAAGAAGAGGATGTTAAGATGTTACAGAGGTGGAGGGGTCCACCAGCTGATGGAGGGGTGGAAAAAAAAGCCAAAAGTGGGGAGGATAGAATTTCTAGCATCGAGGTTAGAGGTGTGTGCAAGTAATTAAACAGCAAAATGAGGGGTAAAGGTTGAGAAAGGGGCTTGAGGATTTTAAACAGCGTGAGGAGGGTTTGATGGAAGTAATTAAATCAGGACCTACACTGCCATTCTAAAGCCATTACCGCCTCCTCCTCCTCATTACTATTTAGAGAGGATTAGGGGCCCGAGCCCAGATGCACAGCCTGCTTACTTTGCAGACCTCGAACTCAATGAAAACCCTTTCCAAACCATATGCTATACCATTAAATGCAGAGCATAAAGTAAACAATCCAACCAAGCAACCCCCCGCCCCAATCCACCAAAAAAACATCTTGGGCTGAAAGTTTACACTCCAGCAAAAACAAAGACAAAAACCATGACCATTGCATCTCATTATGGGATCATTAGCATTCAAAATGTTGGTGTGAGTGACGGTACTGAAATCCAATCAGACAACGTGCGCGCTCAGGGTTGTACACAAAGCAGCCGCCGCAATCGCACCGCATTCACTGTGAGAGGGGAGGGAATCACCCCCTGGAAATTATGCTTTTGGCCCCCGCAGTCTCTCCGTGAGGGGGGAATCACCCATCCATCAGTGACAGGATGATTGAAAACATCCCCAAACATCTGCGCGCACGCATGCACACACAAAAAAATACTGTCCCCTGAATGCCATTTTACATCTGCATCGAGAAAGACACGCTAAATTTACACTACCAAATATCCATTTCCTATTTTAGGAAATGGATATTTCAGAAATTGATACCTCACCCCCCTTCTATATCCATTCACATTTCATTATCTGCTATTAATGTGTTTACATTTCATCGCGCTGGACAGAAATCTCCTCCGTCCAAATTTGGCCAATTTAATATTTTTTCATAAATCGAAATGATTGGACAGTCGACGTGTGGGTGTTTTTTGTTTTGTTTTTTTACATATGATTAGCCAATTCACTTCAACCGAAAAATGTCCACATCTACACTGTAAAGCCTCACGGCATATGTGCCCCCAAAATTGAAGCTTGCAATGATTAACAAATGCTCAATAGGCAATGATGGGTGAAAATAGTTAGGAAAGACATTTGACGAGGCCTGTTCTGTTAAATACGCTGATGCTTCGATGCAGAGGGCAGCTTGTGAGCCACGAAGGTACTAAGTTTGCAATTTGCATTTGCATACAATTTTGGAAACTAAAATATGTGCTGCTATTTTTAACTTTCTAATTATGGTGACTTCCTGAACCTGGAAACATACAAGCCCAAAACACAGGTTAACATGGATGCAAACTTGAATAAATAAATGATCTAAATATTATAAATATATAATTTGTTCGGTGGTCTGGACTGGCTCATCCCCGGTATGTTTAAAAGCAGGCAATCTAAGCATCTTGTGATTGTTTCCTTTGGAATGGTCTATGCTTCCGCTATAGCTGCGATTACCGTGGGCGTCTTGTTTGGGGTAGACGCACATGTGGATACACCACTGACCATCATAAGTTAATGACGTCAGGCTCACGTGGACAGGACATATGTGACTGTTTTTCGGAATGGTGTCACTTGAAACGTGTGGTGTAAATGCAACCAAAGTGAACTCACAACTACCGCACAACAAACCGACTGCTGTTCTCCACACCCCTCAAGCGGATGGAATGTTTTCATGTGGACGGACAGACTTGCATTTAGAGGATTTGTGAAGTCAAGAGGAAGGGGAGAGCCATTAAGAGGCTGTCAAGACAGACAGACAGACTGGCTGGCTCCAACCCAACGCGGACGGCAACGAGCCTCCATCGAGCACCAGTGTTACAAACCCCACAACTGAATATGTAATGGTGGCTACTGCAAAGGTTTGTGCGTGTGTGAGGAGGGGTGCTCAGCTGCTGAGACAAAGCCCCGCAACCCCGGTTCTCCTACCTCCTGTGGCCCCCCCAACGCGATGCAGGGGTATGGCGCCCCATCCCCCGGGAGCGTGCTGTCTTACTTCAGGATGATGCTCTTCTTTGTCTGCCTCCCCTCAAGCACTTGCTTGGCTGACTGATTGACTGAGCGACTGACTAACTGACTGGCTGAAAGCGTTTGTGCGAGTGTGCTAGATCAACCCAGCTCCCTGCGGCGCCCCCCTTCCTCCAACACCTCCACCTACCCCCTAAAGCACGGCGAGCTCGTCGTCCCGGCATCGACACCTCACTCCGCCAACCAGGCTGCAGCCTGCCTCCTGATTAGGTGGTATCCTAGCGACAGCCAACGGGGCGACGGCGGAATCCCCGAGCAGGGCGGCATGCTGATTGGTTCGTCGGATGCTCTCTAATGAAGATGATGGTAATGATGGTCCGGCCCCTCCCCCTATGGTACCCCAATTTTTTTGCATGCATACATTCATAGATGCTCTGGCATGACGTACGTGAGTGCTTCCTGCTGTTCTGAAAATGTCATTAAAACGGCGGCGTCTTTGACTGCCTATTTCCATTCACTGCAATATGAACGACTGAGGAAAACAACCATTCCACTTTTGGTAAAACCAAATTCATTCATTTGAACAAATTACCGGCAGCTATGAAGAGGTGTCAGTCAGGCAGTCAGTCGTCAGTTAGGGACATGAGCGCCAACAAACCTACCCTATCTCGCTAACAAGACAGTAATTCACATCCATTTGGCAAGGCGAATGACAGCATGCTATTTCGGCCCATATACGGGTGTTTGTGGTTGCGAGCGTTTATTTACTGAACTGCAGTGAGTACCGGGTGTCCACTTGAAGCTTGACACTGCTGTCTGTTGGCTGACACAAAATTGGCCCTTTAGCTATCGATGTCCTTTAATTCTTGGTTTCTATCAATAACGCATTGCAGTCAGGGCATTACGAATAATCGTTTCACCACTTGGTAGTAGGGGTGTATTCCATTTTTTTGGTACAGAATATTATGTACTGTACAGAGACACACTTTCCAACATACAATATATCAGGTATTGGACAGGAAGTGTAAATCCCACACTAGTCCACAAAATAGTAATACAACACTGTCATTCTTTACATCGGGCCAAACGACGGTATGCCAATTGAGACGACTACAGATCAGCATGCTATACCGCCCCAAAAAAAAAGGGGTGCAACCAAATCAGCGTTGGTGCCAGCAAAAAAGCTGCCACTTGTTGATAACATCATTCCGGCGTGACCATGCCCTTTTCGTCGGAATTAGTCGGTAAGACCTTTGTGACGTTTAAAAAAAAAAAAAAATTGGTTGTGTTAATCTCTCTTACATTTTTTTCGGCTATCTTGACATTGTGTGGATGTTGCTGCCTTTTCTGTACCAAGTGTCTGCTTATCCAATTTATCACTACGGCCAGTACATCCACGACGTCTAAGGTAAATGGAATGTATCCTCTGATGTTACTTTTGGATGGCAGTGATTCTGATGTAGAAAATGGCTCAGTTAAAGGAGACATGATTTCACATCAATATCAAAATGTCGTGGATGATTTTTAACCATCTTTTCCTACATTCTTTTACAGATTTTTTTTTTAATCTGGTGATAAGGCGTAGAAAAAAAGTAGTGTCCCGACCCGTAACCCGACCGACCGAGAATTTCTACGTTGAAAAAAAACTTTACGGTTGGCATTTTTTTCAAACAACCCTCTACATTTTTGTGTAGAGGGTTTACATTGGTACAAACTCTCGCTATATTCACGTTGAGCGTGCGTGCGTCGTTTGCCCTGTCGTCTGTCAACAACATTGAAACATGGTGACGGCCGCGATCTCCGACGACAGTTTAAACCGCGTTTTCTGTTACAGTCGCGTGCTTGCACCGTAATGTTAAGAAAATAGCATCCATTGATGTATCGAAAAAATAAAGCGAACTATTTGATGAACACTCTTGTTTTATGGTTATTTTGTTTAAATTTTTGATGGAAAAAAAAAGATAAAAAAAAATAAAAAATAAAAAATAAAAACTTTGTCCGACCTACCGACCCTATGCTGAAATTTCTTGTTACCGGAAACACACGATCTTTTTTGTTTGGCCTAACCTCTGTCTTTCCAGCCCCTGAGTATAACTATGTTTATACTGTATATATAACATGACTCCACTGAATAAAATACGACAGGAAGGTTCTATGTGACGATATGAGCAAATGTAGGATAAACAAGGGAAATGTGAGGCTGATTGTTTTTACCTATCATACATTTGCATATTATTAGTAATGAATTGATTATGCTTGCAATGAAGAATGCTTATGCCTGCATTCATTAAGTGATTATGCTGCAATGAAGAACGCTTTGAATAGAGATATAATTATGCAAAAAAAAAAAAAAAGATATGCTCACATTTATAATAAGAAATGCTCAGTACATTGTGTGACGGTTGAGACAACTACATCAACACCAGCTCCAACTGGAAGTTTTCATTGGAGTAATTATTGGACACAAATCCACCTTGGGCTCAACGATCCCACCACCTGACAACGACCAAAAAAAATAAAATAAAAAAAAAAAAAAACCCACGTCTACTGATCCAGCACCAGCTGCCACTTGTTGTTGATAACATCATTCAAAAGAGGTTGATTTCACGGTATACGGGCAGAATAACCCCGGTGAATATCAACCTGAGATCAGGTAGTGTACCCTAAGGTCCTGGAGAATACGACTGCGCTATAGTTCAATTCATCACTGATGAGCACAAGAACCCCCCTCCCCTCTCACGACTGCGCCATAGTTCAATTCATCACTGATGAGCACAAGAACCCCCCTCCCCTCTCACGACTGCGCCATAGTTCATCACTGCAGAGCCCCTTCCCGTTCCAGAACGAACTCAAGAACCCTCTCCCGCCACATCTCCCTCCCCTCTCACCATGACATTCGCGCCCAGACTTACAACAGCCCCGCTTCCTGGTCATTCATCCAACTCCCCAACACAACGTTTTCACCGATTCATTAATGGCCCCGCCCCGGCGGACATCTGACAACACCATGGACAGGGACATCTCTTAACAATCAACATGTGGTCATTGTTGCGCGCTTTTGCTTCTTGTTCTACTAATAAGATGTTGACGTCAGATCTTTCCACACAACCCTTGCTTGATGTTGCGCCAGCCGCCTGCGACGATGATGCCACTGATACCTTTATTTAAATCATTTCAGGTGTCGGACTCTCACGAGTCCGAGAGTGGGAATGAAGTGTGTATTCTGCTCACATTCAGTCATACTGTATAACTTTCCCATGCCCGCAGCGTAGCTTGGCATCCTTGAAGGAATCATCACTTAAAATTGGAACACTCCTTACTGGAGACGCACAAACACTGGAATGCACCAGTTGATGCAAGCTAAGAAACGGTTTAGTAGAAACGAAAGTTCTGATGTCACACCTTGTGTTTCGGTACCGCCCTTCTGATAATATAAATATGATGTGGATCCCTTCCTTCTTTGCACTCGTGACCACCGCAGCCATTGTCTGTAAACCACGGGTGCCCATAATATTCTGTTATTAAAAGCTTCGAAGAAACTGTTCATGGACTCCAGCCTGTATTTGGATTACCAACATTCTCCTCGTCTGAAATTCAACGAACACGCAGAGGAAAGAAGGCCACTTTCCCCCTAGACATACATGGCGTTTCAATTTATATAAATGTGTGTTATGCCACCTCACCCAAAACAGAACTGTTGGCGTGAACAGAGGATCTGCTGAGTTCTGATAATGGGCCTAAGTTGTCGCACAGATAAAATATCATGAAAAAAAATCTGGAATAAAACAACAATAACCTCTTCAGAGAATGAACTGACTTTTTGGGAAATTCAGAGCTCCTTATTCATTCATGGGCACTCCGAGTAGATGGAATCAGGGGATAATGGCGGGCGTGCTTACGGGCTGCCCCATCACATTAAGACGGCACCCGCACGTCTGGCTCGGTGAAATGTAGCCATGCCACTGAAATAATGTATTGATTGTGGCCGACCGTGCATGAAGCTCATTGATTATCAACTTCTCATTAGCATATAGATTAGCCGGAGGTGCGGCCACGGATGCAGGCCTTGAGTTTTGCACTTATGAGGCAGACTGGGATGGGAGGTCAACAAAAAAAGCGACAATGAGAGAATGGCCACATGATGATAAACTTCGGGGTACGAAAGCTGGGATCCAGAGAGCGTCATGAGACACTTGACTAAACAGAGTGTTTTTTAATGAACAAGCACAGGGTTTTTAAAAGCAAACAAGCCACAGTTCTGTTCAAATGGGGAACCAAGCATATTATTAGTCACAACAACAATGCAGATAGGTGCCTACAAGCTTTTCCCGGAGGTTTAAAATGAATAAATGAATGAATAAATAAATAAGGCTGCTCTCCGTGTGAGCTACATGCATTGTTTCTCCATCAAAAAAACTGCACTAAAATGCAGAAAAATGCAGGGGAAAAAAAATGTGAAAAGATATTTTATGCAAAGTGACTCTTCTGTGGTCAGCCCGGTGGGCCAGTGGTTCGTGCATCAACTACACAGTGCAGAGGTACTGGGTTCGATCCCAGCTGCGGCCTCCCTGTGTGGAGTTTGCATGTTCTCTCCGGGTCCTCCGGTTTCCTCCCAAATTCCAGAAACATGCATGGCACGCTGATTGAACACTCTGAATTGTCCCTAGGTGTGAGTGTGAGCGGTTCAGGGTATCCCCCGCCTACTGCCCGAAGACAGCTGGGATAGGCTCCAGCACCCGCCCCCCCCGCGACCCTTGTGAGGATAAAGCACATTGGAAAATGAATGAATGAATGACTTTTCTGTAATTTTTGATTGACCTGCAACTTCAAAACAGTTCCTGCATAAAATACCAACAGCAACTGAAAATGTATCTACAAATATCACCCGTGTATGAATTTTAAATTTGACAAACTTTATGGCGATGAAAGGCTTTGATCGACATATGCTGATCAAGTACTTTTCCCACGAAAATCAGCTTATCGATTGACGCACCACTAATTTTCAGATTATTTCTATTGTTGAAAAACAATCACACATTATACCACTTTCAATGAGCCCAAATTATTTACTTACATGAATTTTAGCAATTAAAAGTGGAAAAGCATCAACCTCTGCATCTCGCCAGGGGGTGTGGTCTGTTGCGATGTATGTAATGATGCTGGAAATAAAAAGATGAGGGCGATGTGTGTCGCATACCAAAGTGACTGTTTACAAAGCAAGCAGTAAGATACGCCCTGTCAACACTTTCATGTCTATAATTCCTTTGAAACCAGAAATTCCCTCCCCTCCTTTAAAGGAACACAACCCCGTGTGATTGTTCTCGCTTGTGGACAATTTTTTTTGCAGTGTGACTTACTTCTATCTCTGCCCTGTAACTGAAGTGCGCATCAGCCGTTGCTGCCAATCAGTTTCGTCGACAAATATGGCCGTCTTGACACTTTCCTGGCTCCCTGCTGTCCGGTTTAAGATGGGGTCATTTCTGGCATTTGCTTCACAGCAGACAA